GCTGCCATACCTTGTCCATAGACTGCTTAAAGGGTAAGGAAATCAATGTGTCATTTTGTCATTTGGGGTGAACTATCCCTTTGGGTTCTAACCACTAGGTGGTACTAAGAACCTTTCCATTATCCTTTTCACCTGATAGCTTGTGATTGAGGGGGTTCGATTAATCTCGCCCGGGCGCCTGTGTAGGTGTGTTTTGCACTGGCTGAAAGTTGATTGCATTCGATTTGGAAGCAGGCTGCCTCCGAGGCGTGAGCCAGATTACCCTCTCAGTCCGACGGTGAAATCGCCTCAAAACAAAAGTGACGTAATTAAGCATGTGTAGTAATTAGTAGGATTCTGTGTTTTCCCATGAAAAAGTGATTGCTTTTGCTAAAAAATGCTTTATCTGCCTTCCCAACGAAAACTAGTTTGAAAATTCAAACATTTAGTTTATGGAAAAGAGATGTATGTTTCTGGACGATGCACCATTCTGGCTTGTTGACAACATAACAGAGTGGCTCAGATTTCCATCTATATATTTTTTTACATCAAGAGAGTTTTCATCTATATTTTTCATAGCTGTCTATTTACCACCACAAACCGATGCTGGCACTAAGACCACACTCAAAGAGCTGTATAGGGCTAGTGATTTTAATGCAGGGAAACTGAAATCCGTTTTACCTAATTTCTACCTGCATGTCACCTGTGTCCACACACAGAAACGCATACAACGATCTCCCTTGGCCTCCATTTGGCAAATCTGACCATAACTCTATCCTCCTGATTCCTGCTTACAAGCAAAAACTCAAACAGGAAGTGCCAGTGACGCGCCCAATATGGAAGTGGTCCGATGGAACACCTATGTGAGAATGCTGTTAATTGAGATACAGCTCAGCGTTCAACACCACAGTGCCCTCCAAGCTCATCACTAAGCTAAAGACCCTGGGACTGAACACCTCCCTCTGCAACTGGATCCTGGACTTCCTGGTGGGCTGCCCCCAGGTGGTGAAGGTAGGCAACAACACATCCACCACGCTGACCCTCAACACGGGGGCTCCTCAGGGGTGCGTGCTTAGTCCCCTCCTGTACTCCCTGTTCACCCACGACTGTGTGGCCGCTCACGACTCCAACACCATCATAAAGTTTGCTGATGACACGACAGTGGTAGGCCTGATCACCGACGACGATGAGACAGCCTATAGAGAGGAGGTCATAGACCTGGCAGTGTTGTGCCAGGACAACAACTTCTCCCTCAACGTCAGCAAGACAAAGGAGCTGATCGTGGACTACAGGAAACGGAGGTCTGAGCACGCCCCCATTCACATCGACAAGGCTGTAGTGGAGCGGGTGTCCACATCACTAAGGATCTATCATGGTCCACACACACCAACACAGTTGTGAAGCTGGAAAGATTCATCATGGGCCCTCAGATCCTCAAAATATTCTACAGCTGCACCATTGAGAACATCTTGACTGGCTGCATCACCGCTTGGTATGGCAACTGCTTGGCATCCGACCGCAAGGCACTATAGAGGGTAGTGTGGACAGCCCAGTATATCGCTGGGGCCGAGCTCCCCGCCATCCAGGACCTATACCAGGAGGTGTCAGAGGAAGGCCCTATAAATTGTCAAAGACTCCAGCCACCCAAGTCATAGACTTCTCTGCTAACGCACGGAAAGCGGTATCGATGCACCAAGTCTGCAACCAACAGGACCCTGAACAGCTTCTACTCCTAAGCCATAAGACTGCTAAATAGTTAAGTAGTTAACCAAATAGCTACCCGGACTATCTGCATTGACCCTTTTTCACTAACCTTTTTTGACTCATCACATATGCTGCTGCTACTGTTTATTATCTATCCTGTTGCCTAGTCACTTTATTGCTAGTTATATGTACATATCGACCTCAATTACCTCGTACCCCTGCACATCGACTTGGTACTGGTTCCCCGTGTACATAGCCAAGTTATCGTTACTCATTGTGCATTTATTATTACTTTTATATTATTTATGAATTTTCTTTCTCTCTGCATTGTTGGGAAGGGCCTGTCGCTGTTTGTCTACACCTGTTGTTTACGAAGCATGTGACAAATGAAATTTGATTTGATTTGAGATTACTGTTCGATTTGAGAAGGGCGTTCTTGCCTCCCGGCTTTCGCTCGATGACATGACGGCCATTGCCCGGTTCAACAAGGGCCAGCGTAAAATAACACCCTCATTGCAAGGCCTGTGGGATGCAGATGGAAAAATATTTTCTACATCTGTAGTGTAGACATATACTGAGTGTACAAAACTCTAATAGGAAGGGAAGGTCACGAAGGTGTCTTTAATGTTTTGTACACTCAGTGTTTGTCTGTGATGTTGAGCGAAAACATTTTTTGGAAGAAGAATAACATTATTTAATGGTTATTCCCTGCGAACTGCAACTTTAAGAGATGGAAAAGAACTCTTGACTTGGTGACAGATTTGTCCCGCCCCGTGGGATACACATACTTTGAGGAGCGCACGAAGACCAAAAACTAATTGCTGTGAGGGTGATTAACCAAAGCCATTTACATTAGCTATATAAAACGTATCTGGTTTAGCAGCAAGAGATTAAAACAAGTCAAGTTAAATATGTTCGTTTAACAATGTAATTAAAATCTCAGACACTAGCAGACGAATCGAATCAAAACAACGTCTCTCTTTCTATTGTGCACCTGTGGGACTGTCGGGGGAACTTCGGTAGGCAACATCAGAAACGTAAGGCCAAAGCAAAGTTACAGGAGTTCTGTTATAAACTTGTGTTGATATATCCAGTTATTATAATGCTATGTTAATTTCTAGCCTTAATGTGTGCGTTTTGGTATGCTAGTTTAGGCTGAGGTGTGCGTGTGCACATGGTGAATTTGCTGTAGCCAAGGCTAAGTCAAATACTTGCTGATTAATGTTGCCAATTTGACAACCCATTTCAGAGTACAGAGGACTGGAGGGAGACACAATGCATTAACTTTGATAATACAGTAGGCTTATAGGCTACTTGTTTATTGTGATAATAATCCTTCTACTAAGGAAGACTTCTTCCTGCTCATGACACTTTTTGTAAGTAAGCCTATATGACCAGATGTTACAAAATGATTCCAAAGTTTGTAAAGTTTTCAAAACTCAAAAGGGGTGCATTGTCAAAATAAGTGTACTACCCACACCCCATCTGTTGTGTAGATCCAGCTATCACAAACCCAAATGAAGGGGAAAGATAGACACCATCTAATTTAATCATTTTAGATGGCGCTTAGGCTTTCTTTCCTATGGGGTTGAGGAATATAGTTAGATCTGCACAACAGATGGCATGCGAGACATGGACTCCTCTTGACATTAGACCACTTTTGAGTTTTGAAAACATATGAACAAATGTGGATTTTGGAGTGAACTATTACTTTAAAACTCAGCTGATACCTTCACAGCCATTTTGGTGACTCAGGCTTCTCGAAGTAGGTTACCCGTTGTTGGCCTGATAGCCAGGCTATATTCTATTCAAACCCCTGCTGAGTATTACGAGCAGGGTATTCAGTGGCTGTCCCTGGATAAATGAGTAGTCTACTTTGGTATTCACCTCAGTGCCAGCAGTCAGCACACAATGCCGACTGTCCATCTTTGTACCTTAACCGCACCGTGTGGCCATTTCAACAGGCCATTTGAATGCAGCTCTATGCTTATTTAACGGCGCTATTTATGCAGTTCTCTGTCTTCTTGGAAGTGGCACAGCTGAGACTTAGAAAACTCTGCCAACCATGTCGCCTTTTCATTCTCCTCTCTCTGCGAATAGAAAAGGGTAGCCTACAGAGGAGGCAGGTGGTGATGTCCCAGTGAAGATGACTCCGTGTAATGCATTGATGATGCTACCCATCATATCAGATAATTTGGGTCAAGTCAGCCATTTTCACAATGTTGACAGATCACCATTGACCAACTAGGGGACTATTTTTTTTAAATAGAAAATATGCTACACAGATCTCACTGGTTCAGATGCTGGGTGCAAAGAAAACGTATGACAGAAATGAGTAATGTTCTCAATTCTGACATGCTCCTAATGTTGATTTATTAATGAGACACAGACAGAAATTGACAACGTTTTGATTCAGTTGTCAATTTCTGTGCCACACCAATGAATTGCTACAGTAATTGATATAGGTAAACTGCTCTAGTGAAACGTGTACTATTTTAGGGTTTTTGAAGTCTTGGTGCAGACAAAGCTGTGTGTGCGTGACTGCCTGTGCGTGCACGCCTCCAGGTGTGAGGCAAGGATCGGTACTGGTTAGACAGGGCCCGTTAGGCTGCAATGTGTGGAGTGTATTGAGAGCCAGGGTTTTCTCACCCTGCCGCAGCACCACGCAGGCCCCTGGGGACATCTGTGTCACCAGGTCCCCTTTCAAACAGGGCAGAGAAACCTGAGCTTCTCGCTCTGTTAGTTTCTTGTCTCCTCTCCCCTCTGTCCCTCCTCTTCTCCTCTCTCTTCCAGCTATCCTTCTGTCCTTTGTCATGAAGGGGATCAAGTTGTGCCATAGAATCACACAATTTAGATACGTTTTGAGTTTTTCACCAGGTTGTTAAACAGTTAACTGTAGAGCAGGGAGTTGTAAAGGCTATTTCCTAGAAATTCTGCTGTAGACACACACACACACACACACGTTTACATTTACGTCATTTAGCAGACGCTCTTATCCAGAGCGACTTACAGTTAGTGAGTGCATACATTATTATTATTATTTTAATTTATTTTTTCATACTGGCCCCCAGTGGGAATCGAACCCACAACCCTGGCGTTGCAAACGCCATGCTCTACCAACTGAGCTACATCCCTGCCGGCCATTCCCTCCCCTACCCTGGACGACGCTGGGCCAATTGTGCACCGCCCCATGGGTCTCCTGGTCGCGGCCGGCTATGACAGAGCCTGGATTCGAACCAGGATCTCTAGTGGCACAGCTAGCACTACGATGGTGTGTACCTGGCAGGTGGAATGCAATCCCTAAGGTCATTGGTGCAGGAAATCATATGTCTACTCTCATGACACCTTTCTCCTCACTCCGCCCCTTACACTCTTACACACTAGAGTCATGCACATACGCACAGTGTAAGATTTCGCAAGGTTTCACCAGTGGAGTGTGACACACCGGAATTGCCTAAAGTAAAAGCTGGACCGAAACTGGAGTGCTATAAAATAATATAGATAAGACAATAACTTTAAATCGAGAAGAAACCAGAAAAATAATATATTCAAAAAGGTACGTTTAATGTCCGCAGGTGTGTCACAGTTAACTTGAACTCTTTGGGGAGAAATTAAGTTAGCACTCCCCTTGTGCCATTGTTTTTGTAACTGTGTGTGTGTCGGTGTGTATAGCATTTCAAAAATCATTATCTCTGTTCTCACTGAGAGTATTGACCATAACTCCCAGTGTTACTGTAGTAAGGCTAGTCCAACAGTATCCATGTCATGGATGTGACTTTTCCCTACCTATTGTCTGAACACACTGGGTTAAACCAAGGACGGTGGTTTGTGACACCTGATCAGTCCCTTGAGCTGAGGGGTGCCAAGTCCGCTATGAAGGAGAGACCTGTGTTTCAGTTTCTGACTCAATCTGCTAGTCTAGCTTGAATGATTTTGTGTTTAATGATTCTTTGTTCAGAGCCAGGCAGAATGTCTATTGATTTTTATTTTATTTTTTCAAAGTCTGTTTTAGTGGCAGACATTAACTAGCTTTTACACCGCATGGTACTCGTTTAGCCTTGCTTCAGTTTAATTACATAGTGTCATTATCTGCAAATCCGTTTGCACTAGAGTAACAAGCAAAACAAGTTTATTGTCACAAGTGTTACCAGTCTCATATGGTTGGTAATGGTATGACGTAAAGAGCACAGTTTAGATTAGGCTACAGTGCCGATAGAAAGTCAACACCCCCTGAACTTTTTTCCCATTTTGCTGCCTTCAAATTACATCTAAAAAGGGATTCAATTAGATTTTTGACAAGTAAACCCATAACATGATGCTGTCAACACAATACTTGAAAATAGAGAGGGTTTTACTCTGTGTTGTGTTGGATTTGACCCAACCCTGTAGTTTTTAATTTAGTCCAAAATGTGTATTTATTTGCCGTGTTGTCTTGCAGTATTACTTAACAGCCTTGTTGCAAACAGAATGTATGATTTGGAGTGGAATTATTTACACTGGGTTCTTTGTTTTCACTTTGTCATACAGGCCAGTACTATGGGAGTGAATGTAATGTTGTTGATCCCTTTTGTATTTTCAAGTATTGTGGTGGCAGCATCATGTTATGGGTATGCTTGTCACCAGCAGGGACTGAGGAGTTTAAGATCAAAATAAATATGAAAGGAGCAAAGCCCAGGTAAAAAGTTAGAGGAAAACCCACCCCAGTCTTCTGAAAACCTAACCCTGGGATAGGGTTTTATTTTTATGTGGGACAATTACACACATTGTTTTGCAAAAGACACACCAGAAGGGCTTTCCAAGAGCTGTTGAGTGTTCCTGAGTGGCCTAGTCTCAGTCCTGACTTAAATCTGTTTAAAGAAATCAGAAAAAAGGTTTAAATCTCGCTGTCCATCAATGATTCCCAACCACATGTACTGAGCCTGAGCAATTTGAACAAAAACGATGGATATATGTTGCCCTAGGAGTTGTGTAAAGTTGGTGAAAATGATTCATAGCTGTAATGGCTGCCAAAGGCTCTTCAACCTTTATTAACTCAGGGGTGGAGACTTATCGAATTATGATTATATAAATATTTTTAAAAATCTTAATTTGGTAAATGTTCTATAACTTTCTTTCACTTTGAAAATGTGGAGTAGGTTGTGTAGATCTGTAGGAAAAAAATCTAATTTAATCCCTTTTTAGATTAAAAAGGGATTATATCCTCCTACCCTAGATCTGTCATTTGGTGCAGTCAATGTGATCCTGACATTGTGTTATTTCAATATGTCTGTTATTGACGTCCCTGGCATTTACTTAGCTGCAAAGGTATTTTCAGTTGTGTATTTATTTATCTGCATGTCTTTTTTGGGGGGAGGTGGGGGATAGCAAATTATAAATCCCTTCCTACATTGAGCTGTTCAGGACTGATTGTACCTCCATGTCACTCAAGGCACTGATGATGATAACATGTCTATATTGCGCAATACAGACTGATCCTTTGTTGTTTTCCATATCTGTGTTTGTTGTGGATACGCCGTTGCAATGAGATGAAAGTGAAGGTTCAAAGGCCATTCCGCTTTGTGCTTTAGTGAACTTGACACAGAGGCCTCGTTGACTGAAACACGATAATGATTGCCTCAGGAAAGGCACGTCCACAGGATCTGTCAATGTCACTTATGGGTTCAAAAGTTCTTCCGAACATCCTGTCCCCCATACCATGTCCAGTTTACAGTCACAATCAAGTATGTTGAAGTAAAGATTTCATATCAATAAAGTTGCTCACCATACAGGTAGGGCTGGGAATTGCCAGGGAACTCACAATATGATATTATCACGATACTTATGTATTGCGATTCCATGTTCCAAACATATTGCTCACCATATGTCTGCTGCAGAGGGACAAGAGAGCCATGAGAAAACAAGATTTGATCAGTCATGGAAATAAGCGCTGAAAACAAATTGGCTCCCTATTAAAAAAGAAGATGCTATGAAGGAAAAATACTGGAGATTTGGTGCAGGCACAGCGAACTAGCACCAAAAATAAAATTGCGATATTGTCAATACAATACATCATCAAAAAGAATATCCCCCATCACAACATACAAGTGCTATTCAGATATGGTGAGAGGGTAGATTAGACTGCTGTTTGGGCCAGATCAACTAAACTTGTTCTGTTGCAGTTTGCTTCCATGAAGTCGAATGCCAAATGAAAAGGAAGCCTTGTCTCTGTTTGGTTAGGCTACCTGTTCCTCTACATATCACAACCACTTACTACTGCTGCTGCTACAGCTATGCTGCTACCTCTACTGCTGCTGCTACAGCTATGCTGCTACCTCTACGGCTGCTGCTACAGCTATGCTGCTACCTCTACTGCTGCTGCTACAGCTATGCTGCTACCTCTACTGCCGCTGCTAAAGTTAGCTTAGAAGAAGATTATTACTTTATTGTCCAATGTGCACAAATGTCCAATGGCAATTTGTCTTCTGTTTTATCCCAAACCCTCAAAAGGACATACAAACATGCACTGGTTGGGGCAGAGGGCAGCCACAGTGCAGCGCCCCTGGAGAAGTTATAGGGGTTAAGCAACTTGCTCAAAGGTGCAACTGCAGGAGATGGCTTAGCTGTAGAGCCACTCTTAGAGTACAATGGACGTTGAATAGAAAAGCACCCCATATAAAGAAAGTGTTTTATATTCAACTTCCATTCTCCTCTAAGAGTGGCTGATTTATTTCCTGCTCATCCAGTTTGTTCTTCAATCCCTGCATCTTGGTTTCTACTGTGAGGTAGTTTTTCCTCTGCTTAGCTTGGAGAGGCAGCTTGGAGGAAAGGCTGAGGACGATTTCTGAGGAATTACACTGGAATGTCCCCTGCCTGTCTTTGTCTTCCTGAGCTGGCCTGCTGTGCTGATGCACATGAATATGATGCGTTGCCTCTGATACACACATAGACACACACACACAGACACGCATTACACTTGATCCCTTTTTGTCTGAACACATACCTCAGGGTTGCACAGGCTTTCAACCAATATACACTTCGTAAGCTAAGGTTTAAGCTTTGCCCTATTTTCTCAAGGTTTTCTCATGAAATATGACAGAGATGTGGTCCTCTGTAGCTCAGCTGGTAGAGCACGGCGCTTGTAACGCCAAGGTAGTGGGTTCGATCCCCGGGACCACCCATACACAAAAAATGTATGCACGCATGACTGTAAGTCGCTTTGGATAAAAGCGTCTGCTAAATGGCATATTATTATTAAATGCAAGGCCAAGTTTGAAACCATCCCTGTGGCCATGCTAAATACTGTCTTTATAAGAAGTTAATGTGATGTCTCCTTTTCAGTGGATTAGATTATTATTTTCCTGGATCCCATGGTTTGTGAACAGGAAATGTTGGAGATTCTTTTGGAATTGGTCATTTGTTATGGTCGTCGTCATGGTCACTCTGTCTCATGGTGCTGGTTTGCTTGTGTAGCCTATGGGCAATTCCACAGTAATAGAATTACGCTGACACTCAGATTTATCACTTTAAAATGTATGCCAAACAAAATCATTGATTTCAAATTTTAACAAACCATACAATTATATTCACAATGGCTACTTTGAACAATTTAAACAGTAAAACAAAAAATTACTGGAAAAACTGTGCAGATGCTAAGTTTGGTAATAGAATTACGGTAAAATCTCCCTCAATTTCATTCTGTTACCGAACTTTGTATCTGCACAGTTCTTCCTGTAAATGTATTTTTGTAAAATTGTCAGTGGAAATTGTTAAAAGTAGTACGTGTGCATAGAGTTCTGATGTTTTTTGTTTGGTATACATTTTAAAGTGAAAAATCTGAGTCTCAATGTAATTCCATTATCATGGAATTGCCCCTATACTATGTTTATGCGTGTGCTTGGTCATGTCTGAGTCAACACAAAACCAGCTGCTCTGATAATGATATATTCAATTCACAGTCTCTTTGTCGGGTAATGATGTAGTACCTGCAAAGCACACCTTAATGAAAATGGCCAGATGAAAGGGCATGGTCCATACACCCTTCCGGCTGCCCAAGACAGCCTATTGATATTAATTTATCTGCAAATGACTACAAATACACATCATGCAGTGTACCAAAGGTGGGCCCATGTATAACCTGATAAATACTTTTGTTGATTCTCATAAGTCCCTCCCTTCAAGACAAATGACTATTTTACTGGCTTATCAGCTGTGTTATGAGAGAGTTTTTTTGTTAGTGTACGTGTCTGTCGGAAGGCACAGTAACTATAGTAACTAACTGCCTGTGTGCGTTTAGGCATGTGGGTGTACGTTATACTCTGGCCTTCTATAATTATTGCTTATGAAGTTCAGGCTGAGATGAGTGGCAATCGGAGTGCTGATCTCCTCCGAACAGAACAGGCCTCCTGACTGTCTCAGACAGATGATGATGATGATAATATGCTCTGATTCACACAATGACAGCATTGCTGGTGATGTCAGTTGTGTACCCGTCCCATAGTCAAGTGGCACAGGCGGAGTGTCTGAACCAGCTCGGTCATGATGGCAGAATTTGTGTCTGCTTGCTCCTGTAACCATGCAACGTTTGAGTGTGTGAGCTCATACCAGCAGGGGGAAGGGTATGTGCTGTAGGTGATATCTCGGGGATGGACTGACTCCTAGACAGAGAGCAGAGCAGGTGATTGACACACAGATAAATGACCTCACCATTGGGGGAGCTGAGTGACAGACAGGACCTCTTTGTACAGAGACTGTGATGGCATTGATCCCTCCTGTCTGTCAACACTCTGCTATTATTCTGGGTGATCTGGGTGAAATAGATTAAAGAGAACACTTTACTGGCATAAAACGTTAGTATATATAGGGCAATAAAAGCATACAAAACGCCTACATTGGTAATAAACTCGGCCCTGGGCTGTAGGCTACCGGGTTGGGCAATATTTTCATGAAAAACTCCTGTGCCGTTACACCCTAAACAAAAATACAAATGTGTTTGTTTCAATTTACATGAGTTGTCATTGTTATTAACATGTTTTTCATTACCCTTCAATTAAGGTTTCACCCTGTATTGTCTGTGATGGGGTTTCACTGATTCATGATGAATGAGCAGTTAGGTAGTGCACTGTGCACACCATGGACAAACAGCTGGATGATGTCACAGTAGAATATTTGCTCTGGCCAATGTTGTCATTCAACAGCGTCAGTGTTGGTTGTTGAACCCAGGCTCTCCAAGCTGTGTATATTATACACTGTATTAGGTTGTTTCTATAAGATGGGTGTTGGAGAATTTTGGAACTTATATTTAATGTAAAACGGGTAATGTAGTTTTGTAAAAAAATACAAAAATAAAAAGTTCATATTTTGATTCTATCATTAACTTGTGTGTTGCAGCATTTGGCCCTGAGCGTGCAGCTAGGAGGCAAAGATGGAAGGCGAAAGTTCGTTCAGCAGAAAGTCATGGGCGTCACAGTCTTTACGGGTCACCGCCAGGGAGCTCTCATTGGTCAGCACGCGAGGCAAGACCAACGCCATCGCAGAGCGCTTCTCCAAGTGAGTGACGCACACAGCTCTCTACTAGACACTTCTAGTATGACTGTACTACCATAGACACTTCTCTTCCAAATTCATCTTACCAAACACGCATCTATCTGTAGGGAATCCTCCATATCTCTCAGCTCTACGTACCTACTGTATCAATCACACTTATCTCTTTTGGTGCTCAGCTCCAGAATGTACAGTCAGTCAACCCAAACACTTCAGGCTTAAAGGCTTTATACAAGTGCTCCCATCCCAAATGCACATACTTAAGGGAGGGAGAGAGGTTGAGAGGGACGTAACAAAGATGTTAGCTGTGTATTAATCTTGTTCTGCAGGTCATTGGGTTTCCCTCGTGTCTGCCAACAGAGTTTGCAGCAGAAATGGAAAGAGATCATTCTGACTGTTAATAGTTACCACTCTTTAAGAGGCTCTGTGGGCGGAAAATTCCGGTTCAAAAGTCACCTCTTCATCACATTGTCGTAACTGTAATCGTAGGCAATATCAACCACTTACACTTGACTATCAACCGTGACCTATTTCCTCATATACCTTGCATGTACAGGTCAATTTCTTCTGTTGCTATGTAAAGTAGCTGTTACCTTACCACAATCTTGATATCCAGTTCCAGTCATCATTTATCATATTGGCAAAATACAGAAAATACAATTGTATGGGTTGAGAAGAGGAGAGAAACTTCATGAAGGGTCATAGGGTGATAAGCATAGCTAGGTCCGGAAACAACCCCTAGTGGCGCATTTCCATACAGGATTTACCCCAGTGTTTTACCCCAGTGTTTTACCCAAAATGCTCAGACTTTTCTGTTTCCTTCTACATGAACCATGGCTCCGGCGGACCTGCCATGCCACTCATACATTTCAGCTGACATTTTAATAGCTATGGCTAACTGTGAACTTAAACACCTCTCACAAAGCAACTATTTTGATTATGCAGAGGTTGTTGATTCTGCTCTTCACAAGTCCTCAGTGTTGACCCTAGCTATGGAATCACAATTTCCCTAGCATAACATAAGGGTGTATAAACTAGTGTATGTTACAGTCTACTTTACTGCGTGCACCTCTCTTCTTGATCAGCAGAGGTCAGTGTTGCTCCTCTCTGTCCCATAGGTACCAGAGAGCTGCTGAGGAGTCCAATGCCGAGAAGAAGAAAGCAGTGAGTATCTCTGTTCAGCTCCCCAACAGGAGACCCACTCATGGAATTACAGGATGTGACATCATCACCTCAGACACACAGTCACTAGCTCAATGATATGCCTTCTTGGTCAAGACCCTGACTCTTTGACTCTGTCACCAGTGAACTATATACTGAAGTGTGTATGCCTAAGTGGTTTTGTGCTCTCTTCTCTGCTCAGGCTACTTATGTTTGACAGTTAGTAAATGGGATAAAGCACTTTGTCATTCACATTGTAAAATGTCAGCCTTTCTTTTAGACAGCCTTTCGAAAACTTCCACCTCCCACACACTCACTATAATCCTCATCTCGTCTGAGGAACACACCCAACGATTCCATGCCTAGTTCTGCCTGGCCACTTATTGTGATGGCAGGCGGTCAGCCCCATAATCCTGACTCAGCCGACTAATCCCAAAGTAATTCCCTCTGGGATAGTTGTCTTTGTCTGTTGGGGTAGTTGTCTTTGTCTGTTGGGGTAGTTGTCTTTGTCTGTTTGGAAGTGCTGGAGAAGTGGACAAGGGAATAGGGAATAAGTGATCGGCCTATGTCATGCAGGAGTACAAGGTAACTACCTATAATTTCCAATGGCTCATCAATGGGGAATGTATTCTGATCATTGGGTACCTAGCTGCCAGTGAATCTGGACCTAGATTGTAGCACAGGAGTTGCCCTGCGTGACGTGACATTGTGGAATTCTGGAGAGGCTCAAGTAGTTGTAGACGAACATTGTTTACACACAAGGTCCTTTCTTAAGGTCATTCAGAGCGAGGACAAGACACACACACACACTGGTCTTATTGTGTGTGGTGCATGCTGTTCCTCCAGTCTTCCTGTTTGTGCTGAATTAAACAGGCAGGCAGCACTGGGTCATAGAAGGAGGAAGCGAGGTCTCAGCTTTCTGAGATGCAGTCCTCTGTGTTGCGGTATGTGCATCGGGGTCAGGAGTTTTAACTAGAGTTTTTTTCAGATATAGCTCGGTCCCTGAGTTTTTCCTGGTCAGGTTAACCAGCAGCAGGGTCATAATGAAGGATTACATGGGAGTAACTCAGTGATTACATGGTGGTCCACAAATAAGGTGTAAGGAGTCTCCTGCAGTCTTCTTTCTGTGTGTGTTTTTTTTTAGGGGGTAGATCAGCTTTACTATTGCAGATAGATTGTAACTTCCATCAATGTAATTGTCTGCATCACTTCCAATCCCCCATATGTTATTTTTTCTCGCAAATAAATAAATATATATATATATATATATATACATATCCTTTTAAAAAATATATTTCCCTTTATTACTTTCCAACCCCACCACCCCTTCCCTTATTGGAGTAAACTAGTGAACAACAATACTTAGGCCTCTACTTCCAGCTTATACATACTATATACATTTTATGGACACAGTACATTTTAAAATAATTCTATTTTGTTTGTTTTTACTCCTGATCTTACTCTACCCTCAACCTCTCCATGTCCATCCGGTTTGCTTCTATATGCCATATCTTTCTAACTGTGCTCTTTCACAAAAGCTCTCAACCTATAACCTATATACTTATTATGGACACAGTATGCTTTACATTAGTTATCTTGTTGTTATTAGTTGTTAGTTGTTATTAGTCCCATCCTTCAACTCCATTCAACACCACCCATCTATCTCTTAACACCATCCATATTGGATTTCTATTTGCCATATATTTTTCAACTGTACTGTGATGTTTTACAAAAGTTCTGAACCCTTCTATTCTCATTGTTTCTACAGATTGTAAATTGAAAATAAACATTTTTGCTAAAAGTATTATTATACAGTGCCTTGCAAAATTATTCATCCCCCTTGGCGTTTTTCCTATTTTGTTGCATTACAACCTGTAATTTAAATTGATTTTTATTTGGATATCATGTAATGGACATACACAAAATAGTCCAAATTGATGAAGTGGAATGAAAAAAATAACTTGTTTCAAAGAATTCTAAAAAATAAATAATGGAAAAGTGGTGCGTGCATATGTTTTCACCCCCTTTGCTATGAAGCCCCTAAATAAGATCTGGTGCAACCAATTACCTTCAGATGTCACATAATTAGTGAGATTGCACACAGGTGGACTTTATTTAAGTGTCACATGATCTGTCACATGATCTCAGTGTATATATACACCTGTTCTGAAAGGCCCCAGAGTCTGCAACACCACTAAGCAAGGGGCACCACCAAGCAAGCGGCACCATGAAGACCAAGGAGCTCTCCAAACAGGTCAGGGACAAAGTTATGGAGAAGCACAGATCAGATCAAACTTTGAACATCCCACAGAGCACCATTAAATCCATTATTTAAAAAATTGAAAGAATATGGCACCATAACAAACCTGCCAAGAGAGGGCCGCCCACCAAAACTCACAGACCAGGCAAGGAGGGCATTAATCAGAGAGGCAACAAAGACACCAAAGATAACCCTGAAGGAGCTGCAAAGCTCCACAGCAGAGATTGGAGTATCTGTCCATAGGACCACTTTAAGCTATACACTCCATAGAGCTGGGCTTTACGGAAGAGTGGCCAGAAAAAAGCCATTGCTTAAAGAAAAAAAAAAGAAAACACGTTTGGTGTTCGCCAAAATGCATGTGGGAGACTCCCCAAACATATGGAAGAAGGTACTCTGGTCAGATGAGACTAAAATTGAGCTTTTTGGCCATCAAGGAAAACACTATGTCTGGCGCAAACCCAACACCTCTCATCACCCTGAGAACACCATCCCCACAGTGAAGCATGGTGGTGGCAGCATCATGCTGTGGGGATGTTTTTCATCGGCAGGGACTGGGAAACTGGTCAGAATTGAAGGAATGATGGATGGTGCTAAATACAGGGAAATTCTTGAGGGAAACCTGTTCAGTCTTCCAGTGATTTGAGACTGGGACGGAGGTTCACCTTCCAGCAGGACAATGACCCTAAGCATACTGCTAAAGCAACACTCGAGTGGTTTAAGGGGAAACGTTTAAATGTCTTGGAATGGCCTAGTCAAAGCCCAGACCTCAATCCAATTGAGAATCTGTGGTATGACTTAAAGATTGCTGTACACCAGCGGAACCCATCCAACTTGAAGGAGCTGGAGCAGTTTTGCCTTGAAGAATGTGCAAAAATCCCAGTGGCTAGATGTGCCAAGCTTATAGAGACATACATACCCCAAGAGCCTTGCAGCTGTAATTGCTGCAAAAGGTGGCACTACAAAGTATTGACTTTGGGGGGGGGGGGGGGGGGGGAATAGTTATGCACGCTGAAGTTTTCTGTTTTATTGTCTTATTTGTTGTTTGTTTGAAAAAAATAATATTTGCATCTTCAAAGTGGTGGGCATGTTGTGTAAATCAAATGATACAAACCCCCCAAAAAAATCCATTTTAATTCCAGGTTGTAAGGCAACAAAATAGGAAAAATGCCAAGGGGGGTGAATATTTTCGCAAGCTGCTGTATTATTGATCGATTTGACTATGACTGTTCAGATCACCCAGTAGTGCTATCTGCAGGGTTAGCTCCAGGTAAATATTGCAATCCTTTAGCCATTCCTGGACCTGTGTCCAAAAACGGCTACAAATGGACAGTACCAAAACAAATGATCTAATGATTCTGTGTCTTTGCAGCTAAATCTGCAGAGCTGGGAAGATTGTATCCCCCAAATAAATAACATTATATTAGTAGCAAGAATTTTGTATAATAATTTAAATTGAAAAATTATACGTTTTGAATCCGGTGTCGTTTTGCGTATCAGTTCATAAACACTATGCCATGGAATCGGTACGTCAAAAATCTCTTTCCAACTATTTTGCAATCTATATGGGACGGCTGTCAATCCTTTGGTTCTTAAATGAAACTGGTATACTTTTTTATTTATCACAATTTTCTTTAACCAATTATGTTCTTTAATGCAGGGCCGACAGACAAGTTCCTTACTTTTTCCCCCTTCTACTTTCCTCTTACATTTTTGCGGTAATGCTGCAATTATTTGGTTGTAATTTTGGGTAGAGCAGACATTTCCATATGTTTTTGTTAGCTGCATGTGCAACATAACTCCACCAGTCCTACCTAGGTATAATCTTCGTAAATTATATCATTTAAAAAAAATTGTCCAACAATAATGGTTTTTTATCAATTAGTATATTTGAGTTTAACCATAATATTTGTTGCATAATTTGTTCTGTCATTTCTGGAGGATTAAATTGAAATTGCAACCAACTTTCTATGGCTTGTTTTAGAAATAGTGATATTTGGGAGATGATTTCCTTTTCAAATAACTGAAAGTGAGAGGTTGTAATCTGAATAAAGGGAAAAAGGCCATTCTTGAACAATGGGTGAGACAATCTTAGTAATTTGCTAGAGAACCAGTTCGGATTTAAGTATAACTTTTGTATGACTGAAGCTTTTAGTGATAGGTCTAATGCTTTAATATTTAATCATTTCTGTCCTCCGAATTCATATTCATTATATAAATAGGCCCATTTGATTTTGTCTGGCTTGCCGTTCCAAATAAAATTGAATATTTTTTTCTCATATAATTTAAAAACTGTTCGCTAGGCGTAGGCAAGACCATAAGCAAATAGGTAAACTGGGATAATACCTTTTCCATGGTAGCAAGATCTTATCTATTTTTGCTAACTTTCTATTAAAATGTATTGGAGTGAGATCATTTATTTCATTTGGGATATGTATTCAGAGTATATCCACATCACCATCAGACCATTTTATTGGTAAACTACATGGTAATGCAGAAGTTATATTTTTTAGTGATCCAATACGTAATATAGTACATTTATCAAAATTCGGTTGTAATCCAGAGAGGTTAGAAAATGTATCTAGATCCTCTATGAGGCTGTGGAGGGATTCAAGTTGTGGATTAAAAAGAAACATGAATCATCAGCGTACAATGACACCTTTGTTTTTAAGCCCTGGATTTCTAATCCCTTGATATTATTGTTGGATTTTAATAGCTAACATTTCGATGGCCATAATAAATAGATATGCCGATAGTGGACAACCTTGTTTCACTCCTCTTGACAGTTTAACATTTTCAGAGAAATAGCCATTATTTACTATTTTACACCTAGGGTTACTATACATGATGTTAACCCATTTTATAAGAGATTCTCCAAAATTGAAATGCTCCAGGCATTTATATATAAACCCCAGTCGTACTTTATCAAATTACTTTTCAGTCTGCTATAAATAGCAGGCCTGGTTTCCCAGATTTTTCATAGTGTTCTATTGTTTCCAGTACTTGCCTTATATTATCGTCCATGTAAAAAACCTGTCTGATCAGAATGAATAATGTCCGACCTTTTTAATTCTATGCGCTGCAGTCTTCTTAATATTATATTGATTGTGTGGAATCTACTCTGAACAAAAATATAAACGCAACATGTAAAGTGTTGGTCCCATGTTTCATGAGCTGAAATAAAAGATCCCAGAAATGTTCCATATGCACAAAAAGCTTATTTTTCTCAAATGTTGTGCACAAATTTGTTTACATCCCTGTTAGTGAGCATTTCTTCTTTGCCAAGATAATCCATCCACCTGACAGGTGTGGCATATCAAGAAGCTGATTAAACAGTATGATCATTACACAGGTGCACCTTGTACTGGGGACAATAAAAGGCCACTCTAAAATGTGCAGTTTTGTCACACAACACAATGCCACAGATGTCTCAAGTTTTGAGGGAGCGTGCAATTGGCATGCTGACTGCAGGAATGACCATCAGAGCTGTTGCCAGAGAATGTAATTTTCATTTATATATCATCTGCCTCCAACGTCATTTTAGAGAATTTGGCAGTACTTCCAACCGGCCTCACAACCGCAGACCACGTGTATGGCGTTGTGTAGGCAAGCGGTTTTGCTGATGTCAACGTTGTGAACAGAGTGACCCATAGTGACGGTGGGGTTATGGTATGGGTGGCATAAGCTACGGACAACTAACAGAATTGCATTTTATAGACGGCAATTTGAATGCACAGAGATACCGTGACGAGATCCTGAGGCTCATTGTCGTGCCATTCATTCACCACCATCACCTCATGTTTCAGCATGATAATACACAGCCCCATGTCGCAAGGATCTGTACACAATTCCTGGAAGCTGAAAATGTCCCTGTTCTTCCATGGCCTGCATACTCACCAGACATGTCACCCATTGAGCATGTTTGGGATGCTCTGGATCGATTTGTAAGGCAGCGTGTTCCAGTTCCTGCCAATATCCAGCAACTTTGCACAGCCATTGAAGAGGAGTAGGACAACATTCCACAGGCCACAATCAACAGCCTGATCAGCTCTATGTGAAGGAGATGTGTCGCGCTGTATGAGGCAAATTGTGGTCACACCAGATACTGACCGGTGTTCTGATCCACGGCCCTACTTTTTTTTTTTTTTTTTTATGTATCTGTGACAAACAGATGCATAGCTGTATTCCCAGTCATGTGAAATCCATAGATTAGGGCCTAATTAATTCATTTCAATTGACTGATTTCCTTATATGAACTGTATCTCAGTAGAATCTTTGAAATTGGTGCATGTTGAATTCATATTTTTGTTCAGTATAATTCCCCCTTCAACTGTGACCATTATCAGTCATGGTTCTGTATGTAATTACAGGTATCATTATTCCTAATTAATCACATCTATTATGTTCTCTAACCGCAAAAGACACGCAGAAGTTAATTATCGTTTTATAGGGGAATGAATGTGCCACTCCTTAACTCTCAACATGTGGTCCTCCCTTCTACTGCTGCTGAGTCAGGCAGATTGAGTCACAGTTAGGGTTCTGACCAGGAAGTAAGTGTGTGTGTGTGTGTGTGTGTGTGTGTGTGTGTGTGTTCTCGTTCAATAGTGGTGATGGCTGAGATGTCTCAATAGGTTAAACGGGACATCATGTGTTGTAGGTTACGCAGTGTCTTGAGGACAAAGGGTAAAATGTGAGGAGCAGTGACATTGATGATTTGACTTCTTACTTCTAATGATCCAGTTTTCAAGGAAAATATATAACCTAAAAGGAGAAGAGTTTGGTTTTGTACAACAACACTGTCTGGAATTTGAATGTCATGATGTGATTGGAGATCACAGATCTCAACACTGACAGCATGAGGTTCTGTAACATGACACATGTTAAATGTTAGGGGATGACATGACTTCAGTGCATGGGTATGGGTCTGACATTGGCTCACACAACAACAGAATACCTGAAACTTCAGCCATATGTCTATGCTGGATTCACACACACAAATAAACACATATTTACAATATTTATTTGGGGATAAACTTTGAGAAGTGAAAAGTAAAGAACCCCAGACTCAGTCAGCGAAGAGTTAAACATTTCCCAAATGTATCATTTCCTGCTTTCTGGTTTCCTGGGATATTTTTTCCCCCTCTGCCTCCATCTCTCTCTCTCTTTTTCCTGGTCTTGATGGGGGGTGGGCTGGTTCTTACTTGCAGAGTTTTTCTAACTGCTAACATCTGGGAGAGCTTGATCACCCTTACTCAGCACAGAGACCAGAGGGAAGGACGGCAGACTGATTCCAGCTACAGGACTCTGTCCCTGCCTGCAACCTAGCCTCCCCGTTACGCCTCGACTCGTTCTCACAGGTTTCACCACTTCTTTAAAAAAAAACTGGGAACAAACTTTTCATTGTCTGTTACTCCTTTTTCCTTGTACTTCTTGTACTCCAGCTGCTCTCACACAGAGAGCGATTGTGTGTCCTACTGTCTTTGTGTGTGTTTGTCAGATTTGGGTTTCTCTCCCTTCTTTCTCTTTATTCATATCTCCCATATTTTGCTCTCCTCCTTTTCCATGTGTGTTTCCATCTCGTTTCTGTCACATGTTTTGTTGGTGAAACATGGCTTGATGTGCAGGCTAGGTTTGTCTGAGTTGCTGCTTGGTTGTGGTGTGATCAATGTGATGACAGTAGGAATTCTTGTCAGCTTTTTATAGCTCTGTCAAGTTTGCATGGATGTCCACTACTATATGGTTGACCACCTCATTATCACGTTGAAGGGAAAAGTCAGGTTTGTTCTTTGTTAGGGCATTGTGAATGTTGATGGTTACCTACTGCTTGGAGCTTGTCTTATGGATGTCATTTTTACCATTTAGATCACATATTGTTACTCTTCTTCATGGGTGTGATTAGATAGTTTGTACTGAGTTGAGCTCTGATTAGCATAGCCCAGTGCGGTTCCTTGAAAGGAACATTGAGTTCCCCATGTAAACTAAGTTTATTAGTTGACTCTGTTCTGCTTTCAAAGGGCCATATTGTTTCATATACCTTTCAGAACTTCCCCATATTAAATAAACCGTTTACAAGCGGGCGTTCATTTCCATATCTTCTAATGAAGATCAGTCATTGACATCATATAATGGAGTATTGTTGTCCCATGGTAGTTCAGCTTGCTGCTCGGCGTAAGTTAGGAGTTAGGAGCTTAATGGATGGTTGAGCCTAGCCTAGCAGGGCAGAGAACACTTCCTGTACTTTCAGGTAAAGGTGAGGTACGTTGCCACATAATGGAATACGGTTGAGAAAGAGGTCTCCATGTTCAGTCCTGCTCTGTCTCCATCTCTAGCCAAGACTGTCTGCCTTTGTGGAGTGGAGTGTGCAGCAGCTGATAGTTGCCTGCTCTGACTTCAGCTACCAGCCAGCTACTCTGACAACAGCTCCTCTCTCGTGGCTGGTCGAACAGCTGCTCATTTAATCTCTCTTTCCTTCCAACTACCGCTGGCCGCAGTCTTTTCCCACTGTGGCCTCGTGAAGAATGAGGTTATGAGCTTGAGTTTTTTTGCTGTTTAATTTGGTTGCAGTCTGGTTGCTTGAAGTTGGATTATATAATACTGGACATGATTGACTGGTAGATGTAGAATGTTGGAAGCAACTGGTGATTACTATTTTGTTGGTAATGGTTTCGTTCCACAGTTCAAAAATGAGACGGTGACTATTTGTATTATTGCTAACTGTTAGAAATTGGTACTGTATTTTGGTATTTTTACAGTTTCTCATACAATACTACTCTTACACACAATTACCTCGGTACAGTTTACATGGTGGTTCACTTTTCGGTCGATATTACCTTTTTCAGGACATTGCTTCAGTCAGTAACTTCAAGACATTCTTCCAGTTGACCATTCTCTAATCTTCTCTTGTCTTCCTGTCAGTCGGTGGAGAGCCTGCCTCCCACTCTGCGTTCAGGGAACCTGAGTGTTCTGAAGAAGCGCTGGGAGCAGCCGGGACCTCGCCAAGACAAACCCGCCCCGCTACCCGCCGGCCCACCCCGCGCCCGCCTTATCCCCCCAGCCGTAACCAAACCAGTGCCCCCGACCGAGCACCGCCCCCCAGCCAAATCCCTGCGATCTCTGGGCACTCAGGGTGGTCAAGACACAGCCTACAGCCACTTCCAGTATCCCCCAGCAGCAGCAGCTATAGCCGAGGAAGGACCGGAGAGAGGGATGGAGAGAAAAGAGCAGCGGCCAAGCGAGGGAGAGGAGGAGGAAGGGCTGATGCAGGTGGAAGACAAGGTGGTACCACCCAGCCCCTGCAGCCCCATCGAGAAACCCAGCGTGCCTCTCAACAGCCTGAAGATGATGTTTGAGAAGGGAGAGGGCACCAATAGAAGGGTAAGACTGATACAGACTCACACACACATTTTACTCTAAAACTTTCTCATTCAGGCAGACACACACAAACACACTGTGGGTATGTATCCCTCTACAAAAGTGGTTCCCAAACTGTGGGGCGTGTCCCCTAGGGGGGGTGCGGAGTAATAGTAGAATGCACAAGGTGCAACTTCGAAATTGGGTAGTGATTCGGAAGTGTTCCTCAATGATGGAATGGAGGGCCCGAGTGAAATAGTTTGGGAACCACTGCTCTACACAGTATCTCCCCCTCTCTGCTCTAAGGATACTTCTCTCTCACTCCATCTCTTGGCATCTTCCTCAACATGTAGCTGCTCATTATGGTTGTGGGGTCAGGTCAGCCATCTGAATGTGTGTGATTGGTTAGCCCCCCATATCCAGCTGGGATGCAGCTGAACTCCTGGTCTGTTGCACAGCCAGACAGTTTCATGGTGCCTTCCTTTTGGAGTGTAGTCATGCTAGCAGTCACATGCCTTGGTACCTGAGGCATTCGTGCCTTTCAAAAAGCCCTGTCTGACTTCATAAGGCACCCCAAGGACCACTGTATGTCTCAGTGCACATCACTAAGTACAGACAGAACACCCATTCACTCAGACACACACACACACACACACACACACACACACACACACACACGTAGAGGAAACTTGCTAAAACTATCTTACCTACTCATACTAGAGGTCTAGAAACTCAAACATGCATACATACACTGACTTGACGAAGACACCCCCAGTTGAGAAGTGAAATACTTTGCGCCAGACACTCAGAGGGAGGGTCTCCTATGGCTCCTCAGATATTAGCAGAGAGAAGTCAGTCATTAGTGGCCATATTAATGACCCGGCCCTCTGTCCCATTACTGCCTAACTAACTCAACCCTTCAGTCACACTCTTTCTGTCCCCTCGAAAAGTTTATATAACTCAATTCTCCACACTGCCCATCTGTCCTATCCCTTATCCGCTCTTAAACAACCCCCTCTTTAGTGTACACACACACACACACGCCATAATAGCCCAGGGTCAAGAATGTACCCGCATTCCTCCTAGTCTCTGGTCCATGTGTCTTTCTCTTCAAAGACCCACGATAGGAATTTTCCCTCCCTCTCTGTGTCCTGTCATTCTCCTTCAGTTAGGTATTCACCCGTCATGGCCCCCACCCCACCTCTTCTCTCAGCATCACACAAGATTGCACTCCTCTGTGCACTTTTGCTTCTCCTCTTTTTCATTTTCCTCAGGTTTCTCGTCTAATAAAAGTTGAGTAAAACTTTGTGACTCTGAGACCATAGTACTTTGTATATTCCTGGTGGTCTGGTGTAGGCTACCCTAGCTTAGCCAGCCCAGTGTTGATGCATGGTCCAGGTGGGAGAGCAAGGCTGTGGAGTCCGACTCAGACTGGAGTGAGTTTGCCACCACGCCTTGGTGTTCATCTCTTTTGTTAAGTGTGTTCATGATGACCACTAGCAATACTTAGTTCTACCTGTTGGAAATTCCCCCAGTGTCTCCTCAGGGAGACTGGTCTGAGAACAGTGGTAGTGTTGTAGTCTTTGTCCTCTCAGCCAGTCAGTCAGACGAAGCTTCCACAATGACAATGCTTCTGGACTTCTGCTGAATTTACTGCCAGGGGTTTTAAGAGGGGAGTGACAGTAGGAGGTCAACCTCGATTCGTCTTGGTCTGAGTGCTGTGCTCACTACTCGGTGTGTTTCCTCTACACATACGCACAAAAGCTACGCCAGTGCATCGCTATGCCAGTGCATGGGGGGAGGAGATGCGTCTCCAGGTGTACACACACAAACTCATGCTATATCTGTCTCTCTCACACACACACACACATGAGTGCCCCCCCCACCCTGCCCTGCCCCAGCTTTAGCTCAGTGCCTGCTCTGTGCTGATACTGTCTTACAGCAGTAATGATGTCATGGGAGTGGTATGCACACGCTCCTTACCCCCCCCCCCCCCCACACACAAACCCTGCTCCTACAGAACACAAACTCCTTTCTCTCTCTCTCTCCAATCAAAAACTTGCAGTATGTTCTCTCGCTCTCTCCTTCCCTCTCTCCTTAGTTCTACGCCTCTTTGTGTCTTTCTCTTTATAACCTCTCCCTCACCTCTCACACACTCCTTGTTCCTAGTTCTCTTTTACTCTCTGTGTTCCACCCTTTCTCTTTGTCTCTAATGTTTTTGATCAGCCCTCGGTTGTAACTGTATGAGCTGTAATGGGTCCTGAGCATAAAAGGTTAAGATGGCGCAGATAAGGCTCTGTTTCACTACCTGGCTGTCACCCAGATAAACGACACCCTGTACTGCCTGCCACTGGCATTAGCCTTATCTCTACTACCCCAATATTCAAAACATAGCGTGGTGTTTTTTTGCATAGTTTATGTATGATTCTAGTTACCATAGTTACCTAGTTAGACCCAGACCATTTGGATATGCAAAGAACAGTTTGAGACTACGTCACGTTGTATAGACTACATATTCAATTCACGCTTGCTTGAAAAGGGTACGAGCTTTAGCCTGTTTGATAAATTGTGTAGATTACATGCTTGTCCTCTCTTTAAAATGAGTCATGCCTCTTTGCTTGGTTGTTGTTTTGGTCTATTTTGGCCAACATTTAGCTCTTGGCACATAGTTTGATTTGCAGTGGAATCAGTTGGTCCTGTCTCAACCTGTCCTCCTCAGTGAACTATAGGACTTATCACTCTTCTCTTCTCTGCTCTAACATAACATCACACTCCACTCTGTGCTCTTGTAAAACATTTGTATGAGCAATTCTTTGAGTGAACTAGGAAATTACTTTTCAATACATAACATTATGGACACCTTGTAGCTGCAATCCACAAGTACAATGTAAAAAGTTATTGACTTGGCTATGGCTGACTCCCGAAGGCCCAGTCTGTTTTAATTGGCCAGATACCTCCTCCACTCATTTGTATCCAGGATTACTGCTTAAGCCTGACCATCTGGTTTACACATCAGTGTGCTGTAATAAACACCTACACACACACACATGCTCGTGTTTGTTAATTCTGTAGAGTCTAAGATGTTGGGGGGGGTTCTAAGCTGACATATGGAATTGCTTTAAGATGGTCATACTATGGATCTTTTAGATATTTGATTTTGAATTGTAGGACCCCTTTAGGTATAAAATATATATATATATATATATATATATATATATATATATATATATATATATATATATATATATATATATATATATATATATATATATAAATAATAGTAATACTAAAGCCCATAGAAACGCATTGAATAACACATTCATAAATGGCAAAAAGGACAGTCAAAAAATAAATCATAAGAAAAAAGGTTTTGAAGTTTCTGTCCTAAATCTAAGAGATAATTTTAAAAAACGCAATAAATATGTTTTTTTTTTTTACACTTTTAACCCCTTTTTGGGGTAGGCGTGAGAATTCTCCTTTCTACAGTGGGTCCCATTAGTTTGTAACCCAAACGATTCGGACGCTGCCAAACAGACGTTGGCACATCGACGTACCGACTTCAGACGAGTCACCATAGTGTTCACGAGAGTCTCCCCTCTCCATATAGTAGTAGTTTGTATGTTACACCATTCGGACGCTACAGACATTTTCGATAGAAGACCGATTTCGGGATGTGTCATGGTCTGACAAACACTGCTCTATCTCTGCCACCTTTCACCGCAGATGCGGAAGTGCGACATAGGCGGATGCGGTGGATTGACACGCAGCCAATGCAAAAAAGATGTCTCTAGTTTAAACAGATTTTTTTGTTATCAATTGACTCTAAGGGGTTGAAGGGATACTTCGGGATTTTGGCAATGAGGCCCTTTATTTACTTGCCCAGAGTGGGATGAACTCGTGGATACCATTTTTATGTATCTTTGTCCAGTATGAATGAAGTTAGAGGTAGTTTCGCAAGCCAATGCTAACTAGTGTTAGCACAATGACTAGAAGTCTATGAGTATCTGCTAATAGAAATTGTATCCACAAGTTCATCTGATTCTGGGGAAGTAGATAAAGGGCGTCATTGCCAAAATCCCAAACTATCCCTTTAACCTTGATACCCTCACTGGGCCAGCTGTCTGTGTTTGAACAGTGTCCCTTCTCCCTAGCCCCCCTGTTGTGACTTGCCCTCTCTCCTAGCCTGTACATTGTTATGGCATTGTAACAGGGCATCTTCAGTGTTTTGTAGGTTAAGGTGAGAGGTGGGTGTATAGCCTACTTGTTATGTGCTTTCAGTTGTAGTCTACGTGTGTGTGTGTGTGTGCGTGTGCGTGCGTGCGTATTGGTGAGTAAAGTGGCTGTGTCATGGTGGAGTTGGTGGGGGGACAGATGGTCCTGTCTGACAATGGCTCTGCCTCTTGAGCTTATTAGGGGATTAACACTGTGTAGATGTGTCCGCACGCTTATGTGTACATACTGTAGTGTAGGGTTCCCCAACTGGCAGGCAGCGGTCTGAATTTGGCCCGCAGGTGATTTTATTTGGCCCTCCCAAGTTTTCTGAGTAACTGTTTATTTAATTTTTGTTGATGGATGTAAGACTATAAAAACACCAGCATACCAGCTTCAAGTGATTTTAATTTTGGAAATCTGTTCCAAAGTATTCCCACGCATAATAGAGAGATGTGATCCTATACAAATGTAAGCAAGGTTTGAAATTATTATGTTTTAGTCAAATATATCTGTTTGGGCTTCTTGCAGTCAATTTGCAGTCTACAAATTAATTGTAATTATGTTCCGGCCCCCTGACCATCCACTAAAGAGAGAATTGGCCCGCGGCTGAATCTAGTTGATGATCCCTGCTGTAGTGTATGTGTGGTTAGTGGTGGTGTAGAGGTGCCTGTCTCCCATTCCCATCTGGTAAGTCATTATGTGGTTCATTACATGGTTAACAGATCCGTTGTGTGGTGCTAGAAGTAATTTAGCTGGAATATGTCTGATGTTGTTTGTCTTGTCATATTTGTTTATTTTCCATGATAAGAAAGCATTAAGCATAATATGTAGTTTAAAACAGACTGGCTAGAATTTAGCTGTACAATTTCATTGCATCTGCTGTCCAAAATTAGCAGAATGCCGTAAATTCACCATCTTGTTCAAGTTAGAAACATTTCAGCAACTTGAGACAATTGAGCTTCTTCTGAAACCTGAACACCATAGGTATTTGGTGATTGTTTTGGTGTTTAACTGTAAAGTGTTCCTTACTGCTATCAGTCTCTCCGGGCAAATTACATTAATCACTGATGAGAAGGCTTGTTATTTGATTAGGTCTAGAGCAAGGTGTGGGGGGAAATGGCACATGCCCCAATGGGTGTGTGTGTTTGTGCCAGTGTGAATAGGGGTTTGTTTAAGCAACCATCAATGGCTAATTTTAATGTAAAGGAAATGCAGGATCTGGTTTTGATGTCGATGGGCCAAACCATTGTGAGATAGGGGGAAGTTGTGATGAGTTGTGGGGCTGGTCAAAAGTGACCAATGATGGGGTTGTCTGAGAGTGTCCCAGCAGAGGCTGACTAACTACTAAGGCATAGAGAGCGATGTAGAGAAAGCAGAAGGAGACTGTGGTTGTTGGGGTGACGGTGAGGACATCGGACAGTCCTGTCGGAGGTTGTGTAATAAACTGAACCCTGAACCTTGACCCCTGTGTTATCATCCAGGTGAGGATGGGACTACACAGCAGCTCCTCTGAGGACATGGACCAGAGACTAGGAGGTAATGCATGGGCATGGACACACACATTTGCACTAGACCCATACAGTACAATCGTACAGTATCTGATATCACTACTAGGCACCAACTGACAAAAGGATCCCATGAATAGAGGTGCCCACTGCAGTTATAATAGCCATGAACGTTACAGATGGGAACACAATGTGTGCATTCACGGGTGCATGATAACGGCTGTGCTTGAACTGAGACAGAAGTGTGTAAATTCATAGTTAATACACTGCTTCATCTAAAAAGACCAGCTTTATTTACTCAAGTCATAAACTTTTGGCAGCTTTTATATACAGTTTCCCCTGTTTGTTTTTTTCATAGTAGATAATGTAGGCCAGTGTTTTTCATATTTTTTTTAGGCATGGCATAAAGTCCTCAAAAGTCACATCCAGGACTTCTGACAACATTGCAGCAGAGCTAGGTGGGGGATCAGGAGCAAGAAACCTTATAGATGCTAACCTGTGATTTTTTTTCACAGTGTTATCCCCTGACAGAGTTCTGGAGACCACCTCCCTGAAGGAAAGAATGGCCAAGTACCAATCAGCCGTTACTAAAAAGGGCCCACTAGCACGCACTGTGAGTTTGCGTGTGTTTGTGTTAATTATACCAATTTCGTACAGAAGATGTGGTATATTACCTGTAAAAAATATAAGGCAATGACCCCCTTTCAAACAGCCTTATTTACCACATTTCCCTTTTAAACATATCAGTGGGTAACTGGCAAATTGGAAGGGGTGGGGGCTGTTTGGATTTCAAATTAGGGAGGTGTTAAACAATGGAAGTGTTAATGAATTTACCTGCAGAAAAGCAGAGAACCATTCACACAGACCCAATACCTGTACTTGGGTTACAGGGTCTGTGAAAATGCAGGAATCACGACTAGGTCTTTAGGTGGGTTTTAATTGACCATGTTTTTTTACCCCCTACCCCTTTCAGATATATATGAGAAAGCTGGTATAAAAAAGCAGGCATGGTAAAATAGTGGGATTTTGGTCTGTTGTTTTTAAACACTCCCCTCTCCTCACATTGTTTAGTCTCCTTTGTTTAGGAGAAGCTAGAGACACTGTGGACTCAGTCACCAGACCTAAACATCTTTATTTTTTATTTTTTTGAAAGAAGTGATCCTCTACTCTTGTTTAATAGTCCAGAAGCTTTGGTCTCACCACATCCAAGGCTAATGGAAGGATAGGATAAATGGAAAAGTTGCATGTCAAAGAAAGACAGATCTTACTTCACATATTTAGTAAAAACAGCCTTAGTTTGACATTTCATGTCTCTCTTGTCGCTGTTCTTTTACTGATCAACCACTCTGTTCATATGCAGGCCAGTCAGTCAGAGGGAGAGGACGGCAGCCTCAAGGAGACTGTGCCCCCTAGTGGTGTGGCTGTGGTCAGTACCTACGGGTGTGTCCGTGTGTGTGGCCATGTGTGTGTCCGTGTGTGTGTCCATGCGTGTCCGTCTGTGTGCGTGCATGTGGTGCGTCTGAGAAATGTGGTTTTGAGGTGTGAGCGAGAGCTTGACTGAGGAAACATACAGTGTGAGTCTGTGAGATAAATGATACACTGTGTGTGAAGATTAGTGAATTGGATAGGGGAGCAGCATTTAAACGGATACAAACTGTAAACCAATGAAAGCTGATGTGCTGTAAGTAAATCAACTCCTACAAGACTGAAGTCTCCTAAAAAACCTGCTTTAAAACATGAATACACATACATAGTGACAGTAAACTCTTTCATGGATTTTTATGTACAATTGTATATGAGTGAACAAGCTATATACTGTAGATTTGATTGCTAACAAGGTTTTCTCTCTCCTTTTCTCTCTCAGAGCCAGGCTTTAGAGTCCTACAGCAGAAAAGTTGCTGTAGCAGAGACCAATGGTGAGTCAGCTTTCATTTCCCTATCTCCCATGATGTCATCCCCACAGCTCTCGGCTGGGGGTGCTGGGGACAGAACCGCACCCAGCTGCTCTCGCCTCTGATTGGTCTTCTGTATTCTAGGTTAAAGGGCAGAGAGGGGTGGCGCGCCGACTGGTTCGTTACCCTGAGTTACTGCTCTGTGTTTAGGGGTCTCACTCATCTCAAGAATTTCTAGTGAAAAGCCTGGCTCCCTTTTTTATTGTTATACTGCTCTGACTTCCTCTGGAGCCAAGATGGAGTCCCTGTAGTCTCACTGGTATGTTGTGTGTTTGGTCTGTTTCAGGTGATGGCATGGACACACCTACCTCTAAGGATAGTACCTCTTCTCCATCCTCAGCCCACAGTGACCCGCCCAAGGCAGCCAGGGTGAGTCCCCTCCATAACCTCCATCACAATGACATGTACATCATGTATTAAATCGATAGGACCGCTATCAAATCTCTGACGATAAGACTTGTTACTGACAACCACAATGTAGTGTATGAAAGGTCAATTCTTAAAGTGTCTGTGTGTAGAAGTTCTGCCTGCCCGTGAGGGAGACGTGCATTGCATGCCTGAAGACGGTATACCCGTTGGAGAGGCTGGTGGCCAACACCCAGATCTTCCACACCTCCTGCTTCCGCTGTCTCCACTGCAACACCAAGCTCAGGTACTAGGGACACTCACTCGCCACGGGACACTTCAAATAACATTATATAATAACATTATACAAATTTCACATTCCAAAACATTTAGAAACCATAGGAGAAAGAACAAAGAACATGCAAAAACAGTATTGTGTATCGTGCATCATAATACAGTACCTTTACAAAATGCCTTTTGAATTTATCACAAGCCGAATCAATTGGAGGAACATTAGCTTTTGAATGTACATTTGTATGATATATCACGTAAATCCAGGACCACTTTTAGTAACCGGTGTCTTGTGTCTGCATCTATCTAAAATATGTTTTTGTGGTTCTTTGCTGCCCCCTGCTGTTCAGTCTGGGAAACTACGCCTCTCTGCACGGCAATGTCTACTGCAAGCCCCACTTCAGCCAGCTGTTCAAGGCCAAAGGCAACTACGACGAAGGCTTCGGCCACCGGCCCCACAAGGAGCTGTGGACGCCCCGCGCCGAGGGAGAGGAGGAGGAAGAGGGAGTAGACCGGGAGGTGGAGAAGAGGCCAAAGGAGCAGACAGAAAGAGAGGCGGCGGTGTCCCGTCCAGCCTCCTCAGCCAAGCAGCCCAGCCCCACGGTGGAGGAGTCTCCCCTGGCCAAGGTGACGGACCTGACTGCCTCTCTGGAGACACGCAGCCACACCACCTCCACCGAGAAACTCTCCAGCGCCGAGAAAATACCAGAGGCCCGCAAGCTGAGGGTTGCCTGGCCCCCTCCTGCTGACAGCGATGCTGGGACCTCTCCAATTTTGGAGGCTGGTGGTGGTGTGGGCCGGCCCTGGAGGGCCAAGTGGCCCCCGGAGGGCGAGGTGTCATCGTCCACCCTGAGCCACGACAGGTCCGAGCTGAAGAGCCTGAGGAGGAGCTCGTCTCTGAAGGAGCGAAGTCGGCCCTTCTCGGTGGCACCCAGCCTCACCACCACCAATGCCCTCGGGCCACGGGAGCCCCGCCGGCCCCTCAAATCCCTGCTGGAGAGGAGGGGGTCACTGGAGGACAGCCGCTCCATGCCTAGGGAACCAGAACTCCAACCCCAGAGGGGGAGAGAGGAGGAAGAAAAGGAGCGCAAGCCGGCCCCACCCAGCAGCAGTGTGGTGAATAGAGAGACCAGCTCCGAGGAGGAGGTGGAGAGTCTGCCGGCGGCGCAGGAGGAGAAGAGAGAAGAGCCGATGGAGAGAGGAAAAGAAGTAAAAGAGGAAGAGGCTTCTCTGAAATGCCAAAGCGCCTCTCTGGATATCCCAGCGTCTCCCTCTCCGCCCCCGCAGCCCAAACACAACCGCAGCTCCCAGGACGTGGGCTTCTGGGAGGGCGAGGAGGAGGGGGGCGATGGGGAGGGGGAGCAGCTCACCGTAGAGGAGATGATCAAGAGGAACCGCTACTATGAGGAAGAGGAGGAGGAGGAAGATAATGTCTGAACAGACACTCCACTCTGAATCAGGCTGGATTTAGTCTCGATACACACGCCAACACATTCTGTCCCTAGTACTCCCGTCCATTATATATAACCCAGGGAGTTTTTAAAAGTGCAGGGATAAAAGCATGGGGACCCACTTTCTAAAATAAATTCTGCTTGGGTGCAATCTGTGATCATTTTGATTGTTTGTTTCATTCACACTAGAAAAGTTAGCAATAAATCAGTCTTACTACACTACATAAAACCAAATAGCCTGATTCTTTTGTTTTCTGAGGGTGCCTGAAAGAAGGGAGTGGTAGATTGTAGCCGATTAGATTGAAAGCATTTAGTACTGTTTTCCATGTTTTTTTTACGCTGGAAAGACTGGTCTGTGTCTTTTTAAAACTGGAAGTGAATACAGTTACGATATTTATGATACAGCTTTTATATAATATAGTAAAGATTACATTGTATTACATCAGCTATATCATTCTCTAAACTGGAAATTATCTTTGGTCAACATTTAGTTTTTTGTTGATGAAGAAAGACTAAGTGGGCTAGTCCATACAACTGCCAGATGGATAATAGGAGAAGAGCCGTTTTAAAATTATCACAAGCAGTCGCTTCATCTCTTTGAGAATACTTGAGAATCAAAAAAGGCTTGTGATAGAATGTGGTAAATTGATCCTGGCCGACTAAACCTACAGTGTATTTTCTGTGATTAGTTTTTGGGTCCTTTACCTTACTGGATTTATGTTTTTAGTTGTCGTTTGACACAGTGCCTGTTTTGAATTGTTTTAAAAGCATCCTATTTTATAATGAATTTTGAAAAGTGGATAAATGCACAGATTATTAAACTTACCCTCATGTTTTATACTTTACTTTAAGGAGGACCAAACATTTTTCATATCTTGGAATTTTAAGTCTCAAAGTATGTTTGAAATAAATAATAAATGGTCTATATCATTGATACATCTGTTGTCTTGTTTCAGTACATGAACTATGGCTGGGATTCAATCAGATCGCCCTTGTAGACACTGCAGCTTTTAAAGGCCCAGTGCAGTCAAAAACTAGATTTTCCTGTGCTTTATATATATTTCCACACTGAGTTTGGAATAATATTGTGAAAATTATAATGCTCTTTCAGTGTAAGACCACTTGAAATTTCAGCCTGTTTTGGTGGGATGGAGTTTTGGCATGTCACCAGGCAGTAAATTAGTTAATAGACCAATAAGGGAGTTCCAAACCTATCTACCAATAACAGCTAGTTTTCAATTTTCCCCTCCCCACTAATACAGTCCTAGCGAAATTCTTGCTTGAGAAATTGCTCTTTGCTAAGAAGCTACATATGTTTATTTTTGACAATTTTAATTGAAAACAAACACAGTCCGGATTGAATCCCAGGAGTGTCATGGAGAGAAAATAAAAACGACACAAAGCGGGCCGTTGTATAGAAATAGATTCTCATCTTTATTTAGGTATTTAAACATTGCATACAATTGCACATTTTATAGGTGACGCATTCATATCTATGATCTGTAAGATTAAATTAACCTAATTGGTGATTTATATGAAATAAAATGGTACTCTGTAAGGAACAGTTGTGAGTACAGTGCATGGTCTTCCCTTTTGAAATCATAAAATGCAATCAATTAGCACATTGCTTGCTTGAGTACAGTTCTGTTATTACAGAAGATTAATCGAAAAACAAATACAAATGTTGTTGATCAAGTATTTCATTTAACCTGTCATTAACCAATAAAATAACCCAAAAGAGAAAACAGAGAAATGCTGAACAAAAAGCCTGTAGTAGTGCATCATAATCCAGTATATCTAGAATAAAGTGCTTGTGATAAAAGGATATGGCATCATGATAGTCTTAGAAAAAAGAAACATAACACAGCATCATAGTTGTTACAGTCATTTTGATTTTGGCATACCTGAGAGTTGCATTTCTTTGCTGCAGGTTTCATGTAACAGCATTTTGAATTATTCCTCTAATAATCTCAAAATAGAGTTAAACTAATAAAACTTGACTGATTGCTGCTTAAGGACCTGGGATTGGTCCAGTGATCTCCCTTTAAACCGTTTCTAGCATTTTCTATTGACATGATAACAGTAAGCACTTTCTTGAGGCACACATGCAGTATAATATTGATATATCAGCTTTGAATAATATTCATCTTCCTACCATATAGTTGCATGACTTTAATCTTATGTTAGGAGTCAACCAGAGTAAACTAAACCGAGTTGGAACTTCCCAGGCAACATGCTGGATCCAGGAGTGACGTGAAATGGAGGGATCCTGCACTGGAGTGAGAACTCCAAACAAACTCCCCTACAGCAGACTTGGGATTGGTCTAACATCATCATCATGTCGCTACCCTCTCCTCCTCTCCCTCTATCAGCCACTGAGTGGGTGCAGGTCCACCCTGATTTTCTCCCCGGTGCTCATCATGCCGATGGTAGGGTAGAACCCCCCTGCTGGCACTGCCACCTCCCTACGGCCCACCACCTTCCCATTCCGCGTGAAGAACACCTGGCACAACACAAGGGGGCGACAGTGAGTTAATATTCACACCAGGGTTGGGCTACATTTCAATCAATTGAGGATAGCAACACAAATTGCCAATTTCCACTTCAGTGCCTACTGTTTGACAACTCCCATATCAAACCAAGTATCACATTAAAACCCCATAACTAATTTGTCATACCTCCTCTCCCCTGCTTCCCACTGAGCTAATGCTCTGGCCCCGTTTGAAGGTTTGCTGATGTAGACAAAAGATAAGTCTCTCACCATGACTTTACTCCCCTCCTGTTCTTCCCCATCCTCCTCCTCGTCTTCATCATTCATGTAGAGGTCGTTCTGGACACGCTGCTGCTTGGGCCGGACCTCCAAGTCCCCGTCGTCACTGTCATCTGAGGGAGCCACACCGATATGGTCAGACAGACACAGACAGATTGATAGACAGGGAGATGAGGAGACATAACGTATTAGACAGACAACCATGAAACAAACAATGTTATTGGAGAATAAAAGAAAGCAGGAAATGTGAGTGGGGATTTTGTATGGTATAAGATGGCAGCAGCCTATTGTTCAACTCACCTCCCGTGTAGTCCCGTGGGAACATGATGCCACAGCCCATGACGTCCCCCTCAAAACAGCGAGGGCCAAAGGCGTCCCCCACCCCACTACCCTGGAATAGCTTCCCATCATCTGAGAGAGAGGAAGGAATGAGAGATCTATGAGCGAAGAGTGAGCGTGTGTATGTGAATGAGAGAGCATGTGTGTGAGTTTGAGCTGTCATTCTGCCTTTCCATGCAAATTCAGTCAGTTCAGGGCAAACAGAAAGTTCCTATTTCTATTAATCTCCTGCATTGCCAATTGACAAGGAAATGAGTCCAACCCAGAACTTCAGAATGAGTGAGACTCCGACTCCTGAGTGCTTAAGGCCGGGTACCACAGGCTGAAATTACATTTATAAATTGAGATTTTGTGATATTTTTGTCCATAAATATGAGCACTTTAAAAAAGTACAGATAAAAATGTCACCAACTTCATGTAAATGTATATTTTCTTTAATTTATCATACTACTGTAATCAATATTTCACATTAGGAACACCTTTTGCCCTCAGAACATTAGAGAATGTTACAAACTGGACTATATTTAGTAACTTACTTTGAAAAGATGGTGATTGGGTCAAAATAGGCCTTTGATGATTGGTAGGCTAAATTCAGTGTACTTGTCTTTAATTGCCATTTCCCGAAAGTCAGACTCTTCCCACATGCCAACTACATTTTCTCAGCTTCAGAAGCATCTACACATTGACCAAAGTGTGTGTGTTATCCTTCGATATATTCTCCATAATTATTCAAAGGAAATTGTTGATATGTTGTCCTAAAAAAATTATAGAACAATTGTTCGCGGAAAATTTGCCCAAAAAGCATTTTACGTATATATGTCTTTAGTATTTTACAGATAGAAATATTTTAAAAGTATTTATCCATAATCTGGTCTGAGTAAGTCCAGTCCTGGAGTTTCTTAACAAAATGAAACCCAAATATTTAGTGTCGAGAAAAATGTATTTGCGGTATATGCAAATACAGTATGTGCATAATTAATGAAATATCATCTTATTTGCATATGTTATGCAATATTTCAGAACAATTGTTATTTAAAAAAGTATTATATTTGTCTGTACATTCAACTGGTAAAAGTTGATTGTGATATGATTAAGAGAAAAATCTTATTAGGGTGGGGTGCCTGGCCTCAAAACATGTACTTAAACTCCACTTGTTCTCATCGCAACCTCCCTGGCCAGTGGAATGGATGACTATCAACCAGAGGTCAGGGGGAATGTGTCTAATCCTTAGGGTGTATTATTGGAAGAGAGAAAGGGCGTATCCCCATGGAAACAATGACATGGAACACATGAAACATGAAGAGATCACTAGGTGGGGTTTCACCTAATCACGACTTTGACAGATAAGCAGTGATAAACACACAGGCTTATCATAAGAGAAACACACTGATCAGGGTATCCCACCATACATGCTGACTTGAACAACTCCTCTCAGCTGGCTAAGCCCCAAATGGCACCTTATTCCCTTCATAGGGCTCTGGTCAAAAGTAGTGCACTATGTACTTGAGTTGGACCACTTTTCTTTCCGTCTCCCTCTATAGGTTAGCCAAGGGCTACACCACACAGGCCTTTCATACAGTCAGGGAAGGATGCATTCTGTTCTATACAGTATGAGGTTGACTGCTTCCTCCCTATGAACTGAAGGCTTTCATACTACTATGACACTGTGGGCCGAATTCTAACTTAAGATAAACCAGGATAAGATAGCTTTACAGAAACCATATATTGACATCAATGGGAGATTTGTGTAACAGTTTGGGTTATGGGATATTTGTGTGACAGTTTGACTTATGTGCACATGTCTCAAGGCAGGAGTCTGTCTGACCAATAATTAGAATCATGCTAAACTACAGTAGTCACATGTTTAGTGTATGGCAAGCAGGTACAGAGACAGACACATTCAAACAACCAACCAAACCATCATGCAGGAACACTTGCAGAAGGACAGACAGACGTTACATGACTCAGGATACTCACCTGCATGATAGGCTATGGAACCCCTGCTCCAGCCAGGGTGTCTGTTTTTGGGGTAATCCTGTGTCAATACAAAGTCAAGGAGGTCTCATTTTACTCATGAATGGTCATTTCAGCAAGCCATGACACCCATCTGTTTCTAACTACAGAAACAATTTCAGAATAATCTGAGATGGTAAGACTGGCATATCTGAAACATTATTTTGTTTAAATTTCATTTAATCTCTGGGAAATTAAGCTCATTGATTGCACCCAAATTGGGCATTTTAATTGATAGGATTCAGATAACATTAAATAAATATTGTACCCAAAATCCGATTTGGACCAAACTCTTTCCTACCAATGACTAAAACAAGATTAACCCCCCGAAAAATGGTTAAAATCCACCCATGTACCCCCCACACACCATGCCAAGCCCACTCCAACAACCAGTATACCAGTGGAGGCTCCTCAGAGAAGGAAGAGGAGGATCATCCCCCTCAGTGAATTTCATAAAAATAGTGAAACATTAAAAAAGCTATAATTTTGGGATACAACTATACTAAATATATTCACGTCACCAAATAATTGATTAAAACACACTGTTTTGCAATGAAGGTCTACAGTAGCCTCAACAGCACTCTGTATGGTAACACCATGGTGTAGCCGGAGGACAGCTTGTTTCCGTCCTCCTTTGGGTACATTGACCTCAATACAAAACCTAGGAGGCTCATGGTTCTTACCCTCTTCCATAGACTTACAAAGTAACTATGACAACTTCCGGAGGACGTCCTCCAACCTTTCAGAGCTCATGCAGCATGAACTGACATTTTGTCCACCCAATCAAAGGATCAGAGAATTAATATAGTACTGAAAGCATAAGCTACAGCTAGCTAGCACTGTAGTGCATACAATGTGGTGAGTAGTTGACTCAAAGAGATAAAGACAATAGTTGAACAGTTTTGAACAAATACATTTCTTTAAAAATGAAGGAGAATCGAGAGAGAGAGAGAGAGAGAGAGAGAGAGAGAGAGAGAGAGAGAGAGAGAGAGAGAGAGAGAGAGAGAGAGAGAGAGAGAGAGAGAGAGAGAGAGAGAGAGAGAGAGAGAGAGAGAGAGAGCGAGAGATAGCTATATTTTGTAGTATTTTTTCCACTTTCACTTAATTAGCTAGCTAGCTAGTTTAGCCTACTCAAACACCCGGCTCAAACAGAAAGGGCTGCTATGTTAGCTAGCTGACTATCCAACACTGGAACTCTTCAAAGTCAAGGTAAGCTTTTGCTTTTATTAATTTATTGCCACCGGGTCCTGCAGGTATAACTGCTAAAGTGCTTGCTGACTGTACTGATAATATGGTGAAAACGATGTAGGCTGTGTGTAGCGGTTAGCGGTTATGATATGAAGGTTTGGCTTGGAAAGGTTTTTTCGCCTGGTCACAGACTGTTGATGTGTTCTGCACTGAAGTCCATAAGTGAAGGGAAAAGGTGAGAGAGGAGGAGAGTGCGTAGATACGAGTAGGAATTCCAACAAGCAAAGTGATGATGCTGTTTGTATGTGCCTGCTATGAAAGTGAACTGTGTTTGCATGTGATCAGGGGTGTATTCTGTTGAAAAACATTTCTTAAACAGAAGCAAATGGAACGAAACAGGGATAAACATACCTGAATTTGTCCAATAGAAACTCTCGTTTGCAACTGTTGGACTAATGATTACACCCTAGATCAGCTAGAGGCAGGCAAGAGTGTGCAAGGTGGTATTGAATGTGTCACTGTGTCACCTTGATTATAAAAAATGATCTCGGCCTGTGCACCTACGTTGTAAACTTTCCTTCATAGGCTAGGTTGTAGCAACCTCATGATGGGTATAGGGAAATTCAGATGATCATGTAGTAGCCTAAATATATTGATGTTACATTGAGCTGGGTGAATGGGATATTAATGAGAGTCATCTAATATGCTGTAATAGAAATAAGGCCATGCTCATATTTTTTTTTATTGTCCTCCCTTATCTTAAACGGCACCGACCGCCACTGCACTATACAGTATCAGTTCTCTATGTTTGACAAGTAGTATGAAGCTGCGGCTTGGAGTATTGCTCCTCCATACTATGTTATGTATTCCCTGTGAATCTGGTGATGTTTTTTTCCCCTGTTCAGAGAAATTAGTAATTGAAGTCGCTTGCATTATTTACCATAAAGTAGTGTGAATGTACCAGGTTTTGATCACTAGATGCCGCTGTTCCTGCTATAACGCCACATTTATCCATTTTGCTGATCTCTTGTGTTTATTAAATAGATCACAACATTTTCTTTGCAACTTTGGGTAGAAAACCAATAGATTTGTCTCATGATGAAAATGCATTTGTGGTCATCCTCACAATTCATGCTAGTCCTCCATTCAAGCAAATCAGTTTGTCCTTCTTTTACGCTTAATCTGTGTCCAGGAAATGGCCCCTTGGGTGTGTGTAGTTTATTCCCTTAAAAAAAGGTCTGGATTACTTATTGTTAGACCATTCCTGGTGAACAAAGCAAACCATTAGGCTACAGCAGCTCTAATGGTTTCAATGTTATGGTCTCTAATGGTCTTCAATGGTAAAAGTCCCAAATTGTATAGTGTTTTGCAATTGTGATGGTATTGGGTTGCGTTGGGTTTAATGGTAAATGTCACTAAACACAATACATATAGAGCTGTTTCCTCATAATTGTATTAAAAGACAGACTGCCAGGCAATTAATTATTTTATTAGGGTTGTCACAACATTTTAGTCCCTAGCCCATTTCTCCATTCAAGTTTTGGGCTTGTACAGTCGTGGTCAAAAGTTTTGAGAATTACACAAATATTAATTTTCACAAAGTCTACTGCCTCAGTTTTTATGATGGCAATTTGCATATACTCCAGAATGTTATGAAGAGTGATCAGATGAATTGCAATTAATTGCAAAGTTTGCCATGAAAATGAACTTAATCCCAAAAAAACATTTCCCCTGCATTTCAGCCCTGCCACAAAAGGACCAGCTGACATCATGTCAGTGATTCTCTTGTTAACACAGGTGAGAGTGTTGACGAGGACAAGGCTGGAGATCACTCTGTCATGCTGATTGAGTTAGAATAACAGACTGGAAGCTTTAAAAGGAGGGTGGTGCTTGAAATCATTGTTCTTCCTCTGTTAACCATGGTTACCTGCAAGGAAACATGTGCCATCATCATTGCTTTGCACAAAAAGGGCTTCACAGGCAAGGATATTGCTGCTAGTAAGATTGCACCTAAATCAACCATTTATCGGAGAGAGAGGTTCAATTGTTGTGAAGAAGGCTTCAGGACGCCCAAGAAAGTCCAGCAAGCGCCAGGACCGTCTCATAAAGTTGATTCAGCTGCAGGATCGGGGAACCACCAGTGCAGAGCTTGCTCAGGAATGGCAGCAGGCAGGTGTGAGTGCATCTGCACGCACAGTGAGGCGAATACTTTTGGAGGATGGCCTGGTGTCAAGAAGGGCAGCGAGGAAGCCACTTCTCTCCAGGAAAAACATCAGGGACAGACTGATATTCTGCAAAAGGTACAGGGATTGGACTGCTGAGGACTGGGGTAAAGTCATTTTCTCTGATGAATCCCCTTTCCAATTGTTTGGGGCATCCGGGAAAAAGCTTGTCCGGAGAAGACAAGGTGAGCGCTACCATCAGTCCTGTGTCATGCCAACAGTAAAGCATCCTGAGACCATTCATGTGTGGGGTTGCTTCTCAGCCAAGGGAGTGGGCTCACTCACAATTTTGCCAAAGAACACAGCCATGAATAAAGAACGGTACCAACACATCCTCCGAGAGCAACTTCTCCCAACCATCCAAGAACAGTTTGGTGACGAACAATGCCTTTTCCAGCATGATGGAGCACCTTGCCTTGAGGCAAAAGTGATAACTAAGTGGCTCGGGGAACAAAATATCGACATTTTGGGTCCATGGCCAGGAAACTCCCCAGACCTTAATCCCATTGAGAACTTGTGGTCAATCCTCAAGAGGCGGGTGGACAAACAAAATCCCACAAATTCTGACAAACTCCAAGCATTGATTATGCAAGAATGGGCTGCCATCAGTTAGGATGTGGCCCAGAAGTTAATTGACAGCATGCCAGGGCGGATTTCAGAGGTCTTGAAAAAGAAGGGTCAACACTGCAAATATTCACTCTTTGCATAAACTTAATGTAATTGTCAATAAAAGACTTTGACACTTATGGAATGCTTGTAATTATACTTCAGTATACCATAGTAACATCTGACAAAAATATCTAAAAACACAGAAGAAGCAAACTTTGTGAAGACAAATACTTGTGTCATTCTCAAAACCTTTGACCACAACTGTAGGAAAAGTCTTCAAATGAGAATTGCATGGCGATAGCTGTATCAGAGAGCGGCCACTTGTTGGACTATTCAAGGAGAGTTGGGTTGAAGCATTAGGTTGCTATTAGGAGAAACTGAATTGCTTTCATTGGGGACTGGCTTGAATTGTGAGGATGACCACAATTATTTTCCATAATTAGACAAATCTATTGGTTTTATACCCAAGTTGCAAATAAAATGTTGTGAGTGTGGCGGTATAGTAAGATCAGTGGCATCTAGTGGTCAAAACCTGGTACTTTCACACTACTTTATGGTAAATAATGCAAGTGACTTCAATTACTAATGTCTCTGAACTGGGGGGAAAAAAACATCACCAGATTCATAGGGGATACATGACATAGTATGGAGAAGCAATACTCCAAGCCACAGCTTAATTGTACTTGTCAAACATAGAGAACTGATACTATATACTGGTTGTTGGGGCGTCCCATGTAGCTCAGTTGGTAGAGCATGGCGCTTGCAATGCCAGGGTCGTGGTTTCGTTTCCCACGGGGGGCCAGTATGAAAATGTATGCACTCACTAAGTCGCTCTGGATAAGAGTGTCTGCTAAATGACTAAAATCTAAATGTAAAATGTGGGGGTTCTGTGGGTGGTTTTTGAATTTTGGGGGGGGGGGATTCCTTATGTCTTACTCATTGGTAGGAAGAACATTATCTGAATCCAATAAATTAAAATGACAAATTTGGGTGCCATCGATTAGCTTAATTTCTCAGAAATAAAATAAAATGTCAACAAAAGAATGTTTCAGGAATGCTAATCATATCTGTTACTAACTACATAAACGATTTCTGAACAATCTGAGATGGTGGGTGTCGAAATCCTCTTTCTTGTGCTTTTTGAGGTGGAACGACCCTCATACGAGGTGTGTGTTCTGTATGTCTAATGACACTTTCCTGTTACTGATTAGTGTGTGTGTGTGTGTGTGTGTGTGCGCATGCTTGCGTGTGTGTGATTCATTGATTCAGTTTCCAGCAAATGCACCATTGAGCCCCCAGGTGATTTAACAGAAACCCCAACAGAGGCCAAGTGTTGTTGCTGATTAGATCTGAGGATGAGTCACACTTAATAGGGAACAGTCTTCCCCAGTCCCAGCGTGCACCTTGTCCGTAAGCCCATACAAAGGACGTCCTCATGCAGGACCGATAAGAGCATTTAGATTAGGTTGAAACACATCACTCTTTAAAGTTCTTCCCCCATCCCACTCTACTCCACCTCTATCTCTGCAATATATTTTCACACAGATAAGTCATTAAAAGGGTCTGGATTTGCAGCCATAAAACCCTTTGATGAGTCACTGCTACTCTGAAGACACTATTTGTTATAGGCTTTAACCACAGAAACCACTATCCATTGATAAAACAGCTTTCTCAAAACACTCAGATGCTAATCTTTAACACACAGTGGGTAACATCACCTGGGGATGGCAACACCGGAGCTAACAGCCCTCGCCTCTATGCTGGTATTGTTCACTGTAACACACACTAACAAAGACATGTACTGTGGAGCCACTAGGTAATGACTAATGCTAACTCTTATTGAGAAGAATGAGAAGAGAGCTGCTTTTGTGCCAAGGGCTTTATTGGTAGAGATGGAGAGATAGAGACACAGAGGGGAGAGGACAGTTGATAAAGAGAGGGTAAGATAGTGGAGAGGTATGGAGATGGACAGGTGAGGCAATGGAGGGTTGAGGGAGGGGGAGAAAGATAGATAAATGGAGAGATGGAAGGGTGAGAAGATCGAGTGAGATTATGATCAAGGGATTAAAAAGTGATTTTTTTGTATTTTTTTGTTATTTAGCTAGCAGACGGACCTTATCAACAGACCTTTCACCGAGAATCAGAGAAGAAAAAGAAGGAGAGGTAAGGGACAGAGAGATAGAGTGACATGTAAGTGGTTTCTGAACGGGGATGACGTCCGCCTCTGTTGTTTTTTCCTGCGAAAGATAATGGTTCACATCAACACAGTGATGAGAGGATGGCTCATTGGGCCTGATAGGATGTGGAGGGGTAGAAGTCTGAAACCTCAGGAATGGCAGACTGATACATTTAAGATGCCCCACCAGAACCGCAGACTGCTCCAGAAAACAATTCCTGGAAAACGAATCAGTGAAATCACAGAGCTCTATTCTTTCGTCCTCATCCAGATGAACAATGCTCTGTCACTTCTCAGGGTGTGGACTTGATCAAAGGTAGATGAGATGGCCAAACGTAACATCAGGATGGTTTCGCCGCAACACCCAATGGATGATTTACAGTCATTGTCACTGTCTGGGTACAACACATCCTTACAACACACATGGAACAAACTTCCAAAAGACAAATTCATGATAAACAGGAGTTGGAGCACTCAAAAAACAGGCTGGGATTTACTTCTTACGCTCAGGCTATGTTCCATATTCCGATAAAACACAGATATCCTGACGTTTCTCCTCTGAGTAAGTCATTTTGTGTTTTTTCCTGGGTAAGCCCTAGGGAATTCCTGCCATTTGTTGTTGAGCAGCCAAACTCTCCTTCGTTTGCTGAAACGGGGAGGCCTACTTGAACTGTGACCTACTTGAAACTCTTTGTGATGTTGCAAGAGTGGGAGCTCCAGATGCAGTCAAAAAAGTTCCATAAGGATCCAACAGTTCCTAGGGGCTCTTATTTCCAGGTTCTCTTATCTGATCAAATAACTGACATATCTGAAGTAGGAGGTCTTTCATTTACATTAAACAGGATGTGCAGATTCCATGTTGATTAAATCTCTGATGTCATAACAAGTTCAGGTGTCTCTGTGTTGAGCAGACAGTCATTAGAAAAGCCCTCTTTTGACGAATGATATTTGCACAATATGGAGATAAACGCTGTCATAAATTATAAAGAGAGACACCGTTGGAAAGGGGCCAAATTAATTAATTTAGGATATCAGCTTTATAATTTTCTATGATATTATCAACTTGATCTTTCTAACCCAGAGGACGCAAACACTTGCTGCATACTTTGCTTTTTATGGTGCTACTCAGTGGTAAGCACCTCAATAGACAAAAATGCCCAGCTACCTAGCGGCCTAATAGCCATGCTTAGAAAACCGTCACACCGTGAAAGTTGTCATTCAGTTGGAAATAGTGAAATAAACAATGCTTGCCGTGAGTAACAGAAGAAGAAAAAACAGAGATATATGGATAATTAGAGAGAAGAGAGAAAAAGAGAAAGAAAAAGAAAAAAGAAAAAGAGAGAGAAGGGTAGATAAGTGTCTGTAATCTTGTGAGGTGGAGACCTGGTCCGATACAGCACATTTCCCACACTCCACTTCAATCAGTGTTGCTATCATGTTAGCACGGCGGGTTAGCATGTAAATGGTACAGCCTGTGTTTTCTACAGAAAACCAAATGAGGGGTTCAAATGAGACAATATTTATTCTGTTGTTCACTTTTCCCCTTTCCATCATCCATCACTCGGAATGGGGTGGAAGTAGGTAGAGAAACAGTCAAAAGAGGATAGGATCGTCATGGCTGGGCTAACGAGATAAGCAACATGACAGCAACATTTGACCAAAGACACTGACTGGTTAAACAACTAGTCTACCTCAGTTTCCCCTTCCTTTGACCTCCTTTTCACCCCAATATTAAGGTTTGATTGGCATCTAGCCTAATTCCACCTTTTCAGATGGTACCCATTCCTTTGGAATTGAGGCCTGCAAATGTCTTCAAATGCACATCAGGAATTTGTACAACAGATGGGAGGGTGCCTCACACAGTGCCTTAAGAAAGTATTCACACCCCTTGACTTTCTCCACATTTCGTTGTGTTACAGCCTGAGTTTTGTGTCATTGGCCTAAACACAATACCCCATAATGTCAAAGTGGAATAATGTTTTAGACATTTTTACAAATTAATTAATAATGAAAGCTGAAATGTATTGAGTCAATAAGTACTCAACCCCTTTGTTATGCAAGCCTAAATAAGTTCATTTACATTTTAGTCATTTAGCAGACGCTCTTATCCAGAGCGACTTACAGTTAGTGAGTGCATACATTATTTTTCTTTTTTCATATTGGCCCCCCGTGGGAAACGAACCCACAACCCTGGCATTGCAAACGCCATGCTCTACCAACTGAGCTACATCCCTGCCGGCCATTCCCTCCCCTACCCTGGACGACGCTGGGCCAATTGTGCGCCGCCCCATGGGTCTCCCGGTCACGGTCAGCTACAACAGAGCCTGGATACGAACCAGGATCTCTAGTGGCACAGCTAGCACGGCGATGCAGTGCCTTAGACCACTGCGCCACTCGGGAGGAGGAGTTCAGGAGTAAAAATGTGCTTAACAAGTCACATAATAAATTGCATGGACTGTGTGCAATTATAGTGTTTAACATGATGTTTTGAATGACTATCTCATCTCTGTACCCCACACATACAAAAAATATTCAAAAGCATCCTGTCTGCAACAAGACACTAAAGTAATACTGCAAAAAATGTGGCAAAGCAATTCAAATTTTTTCCTGTATACAAAGTGTTATGTTTGGGCCAAATCCAATACAACACATTACTGAGTACCACTCTCCATATTTTCAAGCATAGTGGTGGCTGCATAATTTTATGGTTATGCTTGTAATCATTAAGAACTGGGGAGTTTTTCAGGAGAAACATTTTACTGAATGGAACTAAGCACAGGCAAAATCCTAGAGGAAAACCTGGTTCAGTCTACTTTCCACCAGACACAGAGATTAATTTACCTTTCAGCAGGACAATAACCTCAAACACAAGACCAAATATACACTGGAATTGCTTACTAAGAAAACATTTAATGTTCCTGAGTGGCCTAGATACAGTTTTTACTTAAATCGACTTGAAAATCTATGGCAAGACTTGAAAATGACTGATCAACAACTAACTTGACAGAGCTTGAAAATGTTAAAAAATAATAATCTGCAAATATTGTACAATCCTGGTGTGCAAAGCTCTTAGACTTACCCAGAAAGCTGTAATCGCTGCCAAATGTGATTCTAACATGTATTGACTCAGGGGTGTGAATACTTATGTCAATTAGATATTTCTGTATTTCATGTTCAATAAATTAGCAAATTATGGGGAATTGTGTGTAGGTGGGTGAAGGCTTTAACACAACTAAATGTGGAATAAGTCAAGGGGAATTAATACTTTCTGAAGGCTCCTAATTTTTTGGGGGGGCTTAAAGTGCTCCTATGGACAGATACTCCAATCTCAGCTGTGGAGCTTTGCAGCTCCTTCAGGGTTGGACTTTATTTAACTTAATTATGTGACTTCTGAAGGTAATTGGTTGCACCAGATCTTATTTAGGGGCATCATAGCAAAGGGGGTGAATATATATGCACGCACCACTTTTCCGTTATTTATTTTTTCTAATTTTTTGAAACAAGTTTCTTTTCTTCATTTCACTTCACCAATTTGGACTATTTTGTGTATGTCCATTACATGAAATACAAATAAAAACCAATTTAAATTACAGGTTGTAATGCAAGGCACTGTACGCCAGTGCTCTGGAATGGTTTTGAATCTGGCCGATGTACGCTGTTCTAGCACACCATTTCACTTCCTTACTTCCCTTTTGCTCTTTACTGCCTCTCTCCCCCACCCCAAAAATCCTTCAACAAAATACATAAATAAAACAATGATAACGATACGTACCCTGCGTGCCAGTCCCAGGGCGATGTAGCACTTCTCTCCTGAGTCGGTGATCTCCAGCTCGTAGTAGTGGCAGCGTGTGTTGAGGGGTAGACGGGATTGAGCCAAACCCACATCCACAATGCTCTTCCCTTTACCCACGTACTCCAGCAACTGATGGGGAGAAGGATAGCATCACACATCACAATAAAGCAAATACTGTATCTACAAATAAATAAACTCATTGAAAAAAACATTGCACAAACCCACTAGCTCAACGAAGTACATTCAGTACCATTTAACAGAATTAATGATACAGGGCCCTGGATGTAGAGAAGAAGCACGTTCTTCTCAGAATGTTCAGCACACAAAACCTCAGGACAAGAACAATAGACAATTTATGATATGATTATATCATCTATTAAAGATAAAAACATACTTGGCTCAGTATCAAAACTACATACTTGTAAATATTGGCCTGCAATCTATGTGTTTATTCTCATTTAATCTGAGGAAGAAAGAAAAACACCCAGGGCATAGAACTGCATTAATTACCTTCAACTACGCTTCGTTATAATGAAGGCAATACCTCAAAACAGTTTTCAGGGTGAATGTAACATTTGTACCTTGCCAAATTTAGGATTTAGGTAACAATATATCTACTCTCTGTGCTGCTTATGAAACCACAGAATCAGACAGGCATGTACAGACACACACTCACATATACAATGGGGAGAACAAGTATTTGATACACTGCCGATTTTGCAGGTTTTCCTACTTACAAAGCATGTAGAGGTCTGTAATTTTTATCATAGGTACACTTCAACTGTGAGAGACGGAATGTAGAACAAAAATCCAGAAAATCACATTGTATGATTTTTAAGTAATTCATTTGCATTTTATTGCATGACATAAGTATTTGATCACCTACCAACCAGTAAGAATTCCGGCTCTCACAGACCTGTTCGTTTTTCTTTAAGAAGCCCTCCTGTTCTCCACTCATAACCTGTATTAACTGCACCTGTTTGAACTCGTTACCTGTATAAAAGACACCTGTCCACACACTCAATCAAACAGACTCCAACCTCTCCACAATGGCCAAGACCAGAGAGCTGTGTAAGGACATCAGGGATAAAATTGTAGACTTGCACAAGGCTGGGATGGGCTACAGGACAATAGGCAAGCAGCTTGGTGAGAAGGCAACAACTGTTGGCGCAATTATTGGAAAATGGAAGAAGTTCAAGATGACGGTCAATCAACCTCGGTCTGGGGCTCCATGCAAGATCTCACCCCGTGGGGCATCAATGATCATGAGGAAGGTGAGGGATCAGCCCAGAACTACACGGCAGGACCTGGTCAATGACCTGAAGAGAGCTGGGACCACAGTCTCAAAGAAAACCATTAGTAACACACTACGCCGTCATGGATTAAAATCCTGCAGCGCACGCAAGGTCCCCCTGCTCAAGCCAGTGCATGTCCAGGCCCGTCTGAAGTTTGCCAATGACCATCTGGATGATCAAGAGGAGGAATGGGAGAAGGTAATGTGGTCTGATGAGACCAAAATATAGCTTTTTGGTCTAAACTCCACTCGCCGTGTTTGGAGGAAGAAGAAGGATGAGTACAACCCCAAGAACACCATCCCAACCGTGAAGCATGGAGGTGGAAACATCATTCTTTGGGGATGCTTTTCTGCAAAGGGGACAGGATGACTGCACCGTATTGAGGGGAGGATGGATGGGGCCATGTATCTCCTCCTCCTTGGCCAACAACCTCAGTAAGAGCATTGAAGATGGGTCGTGGCTGGGTCTTCCAGCATGACAACGACCCGAAACACACAGCCAGGGCAACTAAGGAGTGGCTCCGTAAGAAGCATCTCAAGGTCCTGGAGTGGCCTAGCCAGTCTCCAGACCTGAACCCAATAGAAAATCTTTGGAGGGAGCTGAAAGTCCGTATTGCCCAGCGACAGCCCCGAAACCTGAAGGATCTAGAGAAGGTCTGTATGGAGGAGTGGGCCAAAATCCCTGCTGCAGTGTGTGCAAACCTGGTCAAGACCTACAGGAAACGTATGATCTCTGTAATTGCAAACAAAGGTTTCTGTACAAAATATTATGTTCTGCTTTTCTGATGCATCAAATACTTATGTCATGCAATAAAATGCAAATTAATTACTTAAAAATCATACAATGTGATTTTCTGGATTTTTGTTTTAGATTCCGTCTCTCACAGTTGAAGTGTACCTATGATAAAAATTACAGACCTCTACATGCTTTGTAAGTAGGAAAACCTGCAAGATCGGCAGTGTATCAAATACTTGTTCTCCCCACTGTATACCCTCACATAGGAATATTACAGCAGGAGAGGTAGATGGGGCCATGGGCTCTTGAAGGCTTATAGGGGCCAGGTCATGAGAGACATGATAATCGATTAAGACTGTCTATGAAATTTAACAGTTCCGCTTGACTCATCCTAAAGTGCTTTTTATAAGCATTTATCATAGAGCCAATCCAACTGGAACAGGCATAAGGCTACTGTGGCCCGCCAGGTAAAACCCTCTCTAACTTAAGAAAGACTCTCTGATTGCAACCAGACTGGTGGGCCAGGAGCCCTCTGGCGTGACTTGATAATAATCTGTAAGGCTGACAGGAACACATCAGCGTAGAGAGTAGAGTACTGTAATTGTCCATTGAGGAAAGTGTTCGCAGGTTAAAGCTAATGTGACGAATGAAATGGTCGACTAGCGAACATGTGGTGGCCAATTGGGATGTCCATAAAGAAAACAACCGGTTACCAGTCCAGATGACAAAACAGAGGAGCTAAGAGGTCAAAGGTGACAGAGGTACTTATCTCATTGATAGAGTACAAAACAAGCATAAACAAATGTTTATCTGAGGTCACACTGAGGTCCCGGTCATATCAACACAATTCAATGAGGTAGCCTATCTGACTCATGACCTCATATCTTGTCATAGCTTAGTTTCCTTGTCGTTTGCTAACTACATTCAGCATTAATAACTGATAATTACTCCAACGTGACCTGGATCAGTCATGGGTAGACCCGACTCTCTAGACATGCTTTATGTCTGCCAGAGAACCATGGTTCCCACCTCAAACAAATACTTCACATCAAGAGGGAGGAAAAATAACAATTTGACAAAAACAGCCGTGACATTTGTGCTTGTGAGGTGTAAAACGATTAACGTACATGGTGTGGGTGTGTGTGTGATTTGTGCCAGGATACACTGTGTGTGACCCTTTCCCTCTGCCCTGACTAGCAAAGAAGAGTAGACAAGTACTGTAAATAAAACGCAGGGGGAAAATAATTATCATTATTATTACTTTACGACAATCTGTCAACACCACCCTTTTCTCTTTCCTCTCTGTAGAGCAATTACCGGCTTACCAGATAACTCTCTTTCGGCCTTTCTCTTTTCTCTTCCTATTCCTCCCACTTTCACCTTGACCTCCTGAACTTTGAATAAAAAAGAAAAATACAATATTGATGGTTGTGAACTTGATGGTTGTGATATTTGTTATATTTTTACATTTATTCTTTCTCCATATCTCCATCTATCATGCCTGCGTCTTTGAAGACCAAATAGGGCTCCTAGGTACAGTCTAATGACACCTTCCTGATGCTGAGTAATAGAGTGTGTGTGGTCATTGATTTACCGTAGCTGGCCCTCCCTGTGGCAGTCAGCAGGATCCGGTGGGTGTGATGACAGATCCCTAAATCTCTCTCTCTCTGATCCTCATAATGTGTGTGTGTGTGTGTGTGTGTGTGTAAAGGGATGTCGGTAAGGCAAGGTAAAGGGCTTATTTTGTTGACCCGCTCGCACCCCCAGCAACAGGTGCAGTGAGAAGGCCATTTATTTATCTATCTGTGTCATTTTGTCTGCAGTGGCAGGGCTGACCTCGTGAACTTTAATCATGACTCACTGCAAATAGCTTGTCTAACATTTTAGTGTCATTTCAATAGTTATTCCAATGCACATTTAAATTGAACCAACCACACATGTATAAAAGGAAGAAGAAAGCACTATGAACCTGATGCACTGCGGGGTAGTGGGCACATGCCTGTGTCTGGCTTTCTTTTGGTAGACAGCTTTTAGATTACATTTTTTGAGGGAAAACAACATTCCTGTTTAAACAATGAGCAAAGATTAGAGCAGTTTACAATCCTTTAGATCCCCCTGAGGCCATAAGCATCATGTCAGGTAGAATAATCTCTAGCGTTAGAGAATGACCAAGAGATGCTGCAAGTTTACCTATGGCTCTGCAGAGTGGAATCTGATTTTGCTTGTCCTCCGTGCTATCTCTCGCTCTCTCTCTCTCTCTCGCTCTCTCTCTTTCTCCGAGTGTAGGTACATGTCGTGCAGGTAACACCTGCCCTGTCCAGGTTTCTAAGGAGTTCCCATAAATATGTCTTTTAGCACGTCAGCTTGACTGATCACTCCGGTCCGTAGTGAACACCCAGTCATTACCAGAGCAAATAAGCTCATCCTGAGGACAGGTGTGGGGTTGGAGGCACTGAAGAGATGGAGATGGCAGGAAGGACATTATGCTTGTCCGCTTGCCCGGGGCAAATAAAGAAAATTGTCGGACAAGCAGATTATAGATTTAAGTTGTCCAAATGGACAAGTAAAAACAATCACGTAAAAATCACAAAATTAGGCTCAGAATTGGTTCAAAGTGTCCTCTGGATGCGATGTGTTACGCACTGTCCTCGCAATCTCTGCAGAGTGCATCGGAGTATAATTATTGTAGGCCTGCATTGACAGGCACAAACGTTCTTCAATCATGCAGTCGTGAGATGCGTTTTTTTAGATCAATGCAAGCTGCATGTGCACATTTGTTGATATTCATTGCAAATTGTTGAGTTATTTGCCCAGTTACAGCCAGTGTGAGTGGGCAGTTGCCAGAGGAGAGAGAGACGTAAAATAATGTTATAGCCTACAACAGACTAGATTGCCAATTCAAAACATATTGTGTAGTTTGGCAAGTTCTCTCGCTAGTTAACTATTTACCTATTAGCATGTATTAATGCATTGTCATGTCCGATGTTCTAAAATACCTTTCCACCAGCACTCGTGTATAACTGCAAATAACCAACACGCAGTTGATATGGGTGCGCAGTTGATGAAACCAATGCTGCATACTCTGGTTGTAAAACCGTA